CCATAACCTGAGTGGAAGGCAGACACTCAACTGACTGAGCCACATAGGTGTCCCTTATTCTCTATTCTTCTGTGCAATATACTTTTGGTTCAAGTGCAAAGAAGAAAAGATATTCTACTTCCCTTTGGATGCCTATTAACACAGAATTCTCCAGTTAATTGCTGGAATTGGTACAGACCCCAAGATGGCCAAGTTCTAATTTGAAACATCAGCACTGAGTCAAATCTCCAGGGAGGCCCTGGGGTCCCCAGACATTCATGAGGTAACCAGTGGCCATGGAAAGGACATGTGAAAGAATTCCCAGCCGAGGAGTGCAGCTGGCGTGGGAGATGATTCATTTCGAGAAACATTTCAGAAAACTAGCAGGTCTAAAGTCAAATAGTAAAGGGTGGGAAGGCATGCCTGGCAGATTTCTTCTATGGTTAGACCACACCTTGTTGACCTAAAAGATATGAAATCTTCAACTAAACAATATTAAAGCTGTTTTTAGGATCCTAATATCCCTTGTGCCAAAGAATCCACCATTTACTGCTCAGTAGGAAAATATATTGGATAATCAAACCCAATTTATTAATTCATGGCTTTCTTAAATTACTGTATCTATTGTAGCTACTCTCTCTCTCTCTCTTTTTTAAATTTATTTATTTGACAGAGAGAGACACAGTGAGAGAGGGAGCACAAGCCGGGAGAATGGGAGACGGAGAAGCAGCTTCCCACAGAGCAGGGAGCACTATGCGGGGCTCAATCCTGGGACCCTGGGATCATGACCTGAGCCAAAGCAGATAGCAGATGCTTAACGACTGAGCCACCCAGGTGCCCCGTAGCTACTCTCTTGGCTACAGAAATTTTGAAAACTTTGTAGAAAAATGTCCCAGTACTGCCCCCAAGAGAGAGAATCTCAGAGGTACATTTTTATCCCATGTGGTCTAAGAACTATGAAGTGTGCAGGGTCTATTACTGTATGTACAGTAATGCTCAAGATACCAGGGATGCTATTTGGGTGATCAAGGCAAACATTTCTGGGATTTTTTCCCCCCTGACATCAGACAGAGACCTTGCCTACATTCTATTTGGTATACATTTCTACCTGGTACCCAGACCATAACTACATATCTGGTGAATGAAGAATAAAACTGTGCTGCCCATTGTTTAAACTAACATATTCTCAGTATGGGAAGGAAAAAACAACTACATTTGCCTTGGCACAGGAACTTCTTGAGGATAAAGTTTCATAGGTTTCTAGAAATTAAAAATTCATTCACAGCAACATGAATTCATAGAATCTAGAACTTCAGAGGTTCTTTGTGCTTCTCAAATGTTAATGTGCATGGAACTGCCTGGCCATGTTGGATTGATTCTGGTGCAGTAGGTCTGGGTGGGACCCAGATTTCATTTTTCTAACAGTCTAGTGATGCCAGTGTTGCAGCTCTTCCAGTCCTCTCTTAAGAGCTTATAGCTAATGATCGAGCCAGACTAGGATTTAGAATGAGTAACACTGAACTGCCAATGGCTTTAGAAAATTTTAGAGGTGGCATTAGGAAAACTGAATCACCTTCATAAAAGAAAGAAGGTACTTCCACAATGACATGACACTAGCAAATTTTACTCTGTCCAGATTACCTAAGTCCTAGAGGAAAAACAAGAGGTAAAATATTATCCATAAACACCAAAATGTTATTTTCTTTAAGGAGTAAAGGTCCTTCTATTGTTAATAAGCCTATGATAGTAACTTCTTTGTTCTTCACAAAAGTTTCTAGAACTTCCTTTAAGATATTTTGGTAATGAAGGGACTGCTTATTATGGTATTAATTACTGCTTATTATGGTGTTAGTTTACTCTTTTAGTAGACAGCCTGATAAATTACATTATTTTAATTATTTAAAAAATAGTGCTGCTTTTTAGCGGTAATTACTATCATTGGTACTTCATTGTATTTTAAAACATCATTGTTTTTTAATGATAGTACTTACCTATACCAAATGCCCTTTTTTTTTTTTTTTTTTTAAAGCATCAAATGCTTGTGTCGCTTCCAAACTAGGCTGACTGGAGACTTGTTTCTGCAGTGTCTGGCATAAATGCCTTCAGATACACTGTTTATTTTCTCTTGTATTTTTAAAGAGTTTGCATTTTTAATGACCCTAATTTATTTGAAAGATAATTCCCAGTGGTGCAGTCAGCATTCATTAAAATGGTTTCTAGTCTAAGGCAGATGGAGTTGTGTAAACCTAAACATGTGATTAGCACAATCTATCCACTTTTGCTCTAGACGATGTGCCAACCTAAAACCAATGCGTCTACCACATATATTCTCTTTATAAGGAGAATGACCTTCTGTAACTCTCCGAAAACTCAATCATATGGATTTTCCTTAAGAAAACACACTTGTGCTTAGATGAGATAAAGTTGCTCTATTTTCATGGTAATTGGTCCTGATGTTTCTCCAAGCTTCTTCTTTTAATTTTGGGAAAGGTGGGCTAACGTGTGTCCATCTTGAGATAACTGGCATATATAACACTTTAAGCTGCCTATTGAAGAGCTTTATAAGGAAGTTACCTGACCAGGTGTGCCCTGGAAGTCTGTCCCTTTAAGGCTCCTCCCACTTCATAGGTGAACTGGCCAAACCGGTGACAAAGCCTGAGATGCCAGCCTCAACTCCCAAAAGCACAGGACTCACACAAACTTATCCATACCCATGTCCTTCTCTATTTGTTTAGTGACCAAGCCCTATTCCTATTTCCTCCTCCTACTTTTCCATTAATTTGGGTCTTGGCACCTTGTTTTCCCCGATCCCCTGCCTTGTTACCTACCTTTCTTGGAAGAGCTTGTGCCTTCTTTCCAGACTTGTATGTTGTCTGTCATTTGACAACCCTGCAAGGCCTGATGAGCTACACTCCGGACAGCCAGCAATGGTCCCCTGCTTTTTCTGAGAGGGTCCAGTGGAGGACACCAAGGAAGAAGCCCAAAATAAGGATATAGGATTCACAGCCAAGTTCAGAGGCATTGACGTCAAAATGAAATAGCAATGCACAATGAAAATGGTTTATTTTATATGTGGGTTGGGGTAGATCTAAAATTCATGCAGTGAGGTATGTAAAGCACCTCATTCAAGTGTGGTGAACTTTAACCTACATGTACACCTGTTTAGTCATCATGCAGGTTGAGATATAGAATGCTCCCTTGTTTCTTTTCAGCCAACCCCAACTCCCCCATTAAAGCTAACCTCTTGGGGTACCTCGGTGGCACAGTCATTTGAATGTCCGACTCCTGGTTTTGGCTCAGGTCATGATCTCAGGGTCATGAGACTGAGGCCCGAGACGGGCTCTAGGCTCAGTGCAGAGTTTGCCTGAGATTCTTTCTCTCTCTCCTTCTGCTTCTCCCGTTCATATTCTCTTTCTCTCTAAAATAAACAAGTCTTTTTTTTTTTTAAGATTTTTAAAAATTTATTTGACAGACAGAGATCACAAGCAGGCAGAGAGGCAGGCAAAGAGAGAAGGAGGGGAAGCAGGCTCCCCGTTGAGCAGAGAGCCCGATGCAGGGCTTGATCCCAGGACCCTGAGATCATGACCTGAGCTGAAGGCAGAGGCTTAATCCACTGAGCCACCCAGGCATCCCTCAAATAAACAAATTTTTAAAGCTAACCACTTTATTGACCTCCATTGTCAACAATTTCTCCTTAAAAGCGAAGTTCTTATAACTCACCCAGTTGTTTTTGTGCTCATGGCACCAAGTAAAATGTCATGACATTCTTTGTGAATGCACAATAAATTTAGTTTGAGTATTATAATAAACAATATTTAAGTAATATATTATCTGCCTAATTCCAACAAAACTGAAGTTAAGAACTATACATAGCCTTGCACTAATTTATTGTACCGCAAGGATTGCATTTTTGGATCATACAAATGGATGAAGCCCTTGGAGCCAGTTGGACTTGAGAACTTGGAAAATTCTGGATTCGAAAAGACATTAAAGGAGCATATACTGTATGTTAAATTCTACCTGCAGTGGGGTCTAGGGCAGCGTGCCTTATAAAAACATTAGTCATTATTACAGAATATGTACTATACAAATAGGTAAGAACAGTAGCATAAATACAAATATTTACATTATATTGGGGAAATATAGACCATAAATAGCTTTGTGACAACTCTTATTTGCCAAAAAATAAATTCTGGCACCACAAAAATTATGGATAAGAGTTTGCGGAGTTGTAGGTAATACATTACTTAAGGAAATTTTCTACCTAAGTCAAGCCTTGCTCTCATATTATATCATCCACAGAGCTTTCTAGGTAATCCAAGTATAAGAAATGGTTGTTTCTTTTGAACTACTACAGCATTTTGAGGTTATTTTTTACATATTGCCTTAAAATTTTTTAAAAGATTTTTATTTATTTATTTGACAGAGAGAGATCACAAGTAGGCAGAGCAGCAGGCAGATAGAGAGGGGGAAGCAGGCTCCCTGCTGAGCAGAGAGCCTGATGCTGGGCTCAATTCCAGGACTCTGAGACCATGACCTGAGCTGAAAGCAGAGGCTTAACCCACTGAACCACCCAGGAGCCCCGCCTTAAAATTTTTTTATAATGAAATGTTCAATTATACAAAAAGTAGAGAATATAGTATAATAAACTCCCTTAAAGATATCACCAAACCTCAATAATATCATTTTGCCAGTCTTGTTTCATCAATTCCCATTTTTGCCCCTAGAATAATTTTTTTTTTAAGATCTATTCATTTAGGGGTGCCTGGGTGGCTCAGTGGGTTAAGCCTCTGCCTTAGGCCCAGGTCATGATCTCAGGGTCCTGGGATAGAGCCCCACATCGGGCTCTCGGCTCAGCAGGGAGCCTGCTTCCTCCTCTCCCTCTGCCTGCCTCTCTGCCTACTTGTGATCTCTCTCCCTCTGTCAAATAAATAAATAAAATATTTTTTAAAAAAAGATCTATTCATTTATTTTAGGGAGAGAGACAGAGGGGGGGGGGCAGTGAGTGGGGGATGGGGACAGAGGGAGAGGAAGAGAGAAACTTTAGCAGACCCTGTGCTGAACCTGAAGCCCAACGCAGGGTTATACCCCAGGATCCCTAGATCCCAACTTGAGTCGAAACCAAAAGTTGGCACTTAACTGACTGAGCCACCCAGCCAACCTTCCCTAGAATCATTTAAAACAAACCCAAGATATCATGATCCTGTCACCTCACCTGTAAATACTTAAAAACACATTGCTTATTAAATTACATTTACACGAGTAAATGTTTTGTCTCCATATTATAATGTAGACTCTGCCAGGGCAAGCATTGTATCTTTTTCATTCTTGTTTCCCAATGAGCTCTTCTCAGTAGGAAATGCTACACAAAAACATAAATTAGATTCTTGATCAATGCATGGCAGCAGACAATAGTTCTTAAACTTGAGTGTGTATCCAGAGCAACTAGAGGGTTTGTCAAAACACACAGTGCTGGACCCCCACCCCAGAATTCCTGATTTGGTAGGCCTGGGGTGGGACCCAAGTAGTCACCTTTCTAACAAGTTCCCCAGTTCCCAAATGATGGTGGTAGTGGTGGTGATGGTTATGATGATGGTGATCTAGATGCATACTCTGAGAACTCCTTCATTGGAACAAGGAAGATGTTGACATTTCCAAACCTGCCTATTAATTAATCAAACATTAATCATATGTGAGGGCTTGAAAGGAATACAGGGAGAAATAATTTTTTATAGTTTTTATAAGCCCCTACTCTCATGGAACTTTTACTATATGAGTAATTAAAAAAGAAATATAGGAGAATTATTAAGAAACATGGGTGCTGGTGTCCCATATCAGAAGATTTTTATTTAATTAGTATAGAATAAGCTTTTTTTTTTCTTTTTAGTGTTCCCAGGTAATCCCAATGTGTATTTACATACCATCACACCAGGCTTTACTGAAGAGGTGAGATTAGAATTTGTCCTTGACTTATGAAGAAGATTTTAATAGACAGCTTAAGTGGGAAGGGTCTTCCCACTTTCTAGGTGGGGGGCTGCAGTGGCATAAAGCTCCAAATGCTTTTTCTGGTCTTTCCAGGACATTGACCTGTACATAAAAATATTCAATAATATTCAGAGTTTGTACAACACAGTTTGTATCCTTTTTTTTCTTAGACAAATCAACCTCTAAATCCTCAGATTTCCCATATGTAAAATGGGAATAATAATTGTACCTACATCATAGTATTGTCAAGACAATTAAATGATCTTAGTATAAATAAGGAACATTGTTTAGAATAATGTTTAGCAAATAAGTGCTCATTGAATGCTAATCATTATTTATTGAACATCTTCTATATGCCAGGCAGGAAACCAGAATGAGAATACTTTGCATTTGTATTCTTTTGACTTTACAAAGCTGTTGTATATTTTTAAAGTCTTTTTAAAAAAAGATTTTATTTATTTATTTGAGAGAGATATAGATTGCGAGAGAGAGCAGGAACAGGGAGGAGAGAGAGAAGCAGGCTCCCCACTGATCAGGGAGCCCATACAGGACTCGATCCCAGGACCCTGAGATCATGACCTGAGCCAAAGACAGACGTTTAACGACTGAGCCACCCTAGCACCCAGACACCCCAAAGCTGCTGTATATTTTCTGTCACACTTCCTCCTTCCAGTGACCTTTGCAATAGGTAGAGAAAGTTTAATAGCACCTACATGACAGGAGAAAGCTGTGGAGTGACTTTTTAAAAGAGTGCAATAGTATGTGAACTCCAGTGTTTCAAACTCCCAAAGTGTGCTCTTTCCTTCAATAAAATAAGGAAGCAAACAAACAAAAACCAAAAACAAAATGCAAAAAAACCGTTGAAGAACTGAGGCATTTGTTCAGCTAATTTGTACACATACTCCACTTTACCTAGACAGAGGTCCATAAGAATCTCAACAATCTTCCTTCTGTTATTCCCAGGTTACCCATAAGGGGGACATTTAATTGGCGGATAATCTGTACTCTGTTTGGAATTACATTTCTTTTCTTTTCTTTCTTTCTTTTTTAGAGATTTATTTATTTGAAAGAGAGCAGAAAGAAAGGAAGACAGCACAAGCTGGGAGGAGGAGCACAGGGAGAGGGAAAAGCAGACTCCCCGCTGAACAGGGAGCCCAACGATGTGGGGCTGGATCCCAGGACCCTGGAATCATGACCTGAGCCTAAGGCAGGTAGATGCTTAACTGACTGAGCTGTCCAGGCACCCCAGGAGCTACATTTCTTATTCAGCTATATTTCTAGTCAAGGATTGTCAGATAACTCCTTTTACTGGAGAGAACCCTGCCTTTAGGAGTTCTTTCATTCTCTTAAGGAACATCCAGAAAATGGAAAACCTAAAACTAGGCAAGTTGGAACAAGAAAGTTCTCTTCTTCAACACACACATACAAAATGGAAACGTTAATATAGCAATTAACATGTTCTTTCATGTAACACGTACTTTGGTGACCTCTTATGTGTATTATATTCTTGGTCTGGACAATACAAGAGTAGGAAAAATATAATTGGAAAACCATGAGTAATCATTAATAGAGACATAAAGTCTAAAACCTCCCAAGGTTTCCTCTACTGGTTTCTACAGGTGAGAACTACTGTGAAGGATACAGCTCCTAGGTTACATGACGTGGCCGTTACTCTGTAACTGGTGGCAAATTTTCCACATAAATGAAAACAGATGTGTAGAAAACCTATTATTATCATTACTCCTACTGCTGCTACTACAACTTTTAGATTTGCTATCCTCCATTTGAGTTACGAGCTATTCTAAAGAAAAAAGTATAAACTAAGATATTATGGCAGGGAACAAGATCTTTGTGCATTTTAACAGTATTTGTTAGAAATTATTTTTAGCCCCAAACAACAGAAAACCCAATTTGGGTTGGTTTATACAGAGGCTTATTTCACAAAATAAGAAATATAAGGCAAGGAGCCAAGGCTGAACATGACTTGACAATATTACCAGAGATCCAAGGTCTTTAATTCTGCCAATATCTTTAGAGTATATGCCTTCATCCATTTGCTTGTCATCTTATGGTCCAATGATGGGTGTCATGTCTTCAAATTTTTCTGGCAAGAAGTGGAATGAAGCAAAAAGCCAAAGTACACACCACCTGAGCCTATTTTTTAAAGCGTTTCTATAAGTCCCACCCAGCAGCTTCCACGAACGGGACTTGAACAGGTTCCTCTTGGACTAGCACTGTCCAGCTGAAATATAACGCAAGCCACAAATGGGAGCTACATATAAAATTTTACATTTTCTAGTAGCCATGTTTTAAAAAAGTCAAAAAGAGAGGAAATTAATTTCAATAACATATTTAACCAAAAATACCCCCCAATTTTTCTGATGTGTGACTAATACTTTAAAGATCAAATCAAGATACACATTTTACGTTCTTTTTTTGTATTGTTTTCATAGTCAGTCTGTATCTCAGTTTAGACAAGCCGCTTTTCAAGTGCCCAATAGCCATATGTTACTGTCTTGGGTAGGAAGCCTCAGGCCAATCACCAAAGTGTCTCAGGAGGATATATGAATTGGGGTGGGCCATCCAAATAGCAGCGTTTGCCTCTTGACAATAGCAAATACTTCATTTAAGGAATGAAATGACCTGAATTTAACCAAAATCAGTCCCATCCATGATAGCTCTCTACAACGCTTCAGACCAGGGTTATTCGAATGTAGGACAAACTGGCTTTCAAAGACAAAACAATTTTACCACTCCTAATGAAGTATTTATGATGCTTGTACTTTTTGAAATTTCCCTTATTCAGTTTGATGTTCTTGACAATTTCTGGCAAGCAGGGTTATTTGAGGTGATGCTCATATACAGTCCTTTTTACTGTGGTGCTGACTATAGCAGCCATACCTATCATTTATCATCTAACTACAGTGTTCCCAAACATACCCGCCCTTTGATGTTTTCTCAGTGGCCTGGTTGCTCCAGATTTTATGTAATTGCCAGTGTTTAGGAAGGGACAATGCACTGTTCTCTACTTCCACTCAATTTTCTCTATTTTACGTTTCCATCACTTTCAGTTTTCTTATTGCATCTTCCTTGACTCTTTTTGCATCCTTTACATCTTCACCTTAAGATTATCATTCCCAGGGGCGCCTGGCTGACTCAGTCCATGGCGCATGCAACTCAGGATCTAGGGGTTGTGAGTTTGAGCCCCACTTTGGATGTAGAGATTACTTAAAAATAAAATCTTAAAAAAATAATAAAATTATCATTATCATACTTTAAAAGTGCACAAACTCATTTATAGCAAAGAATTTTTGGTGATAAGATTTTTCTGAAACAAGAATGAAGAAAAATCCTCCAATGTCATAACCGTGAGTGGGTCAAGGGGCACTAAGGTACAGTCCCCGCTGCTTTCAAGATGACAATTTAGTGTTTCAGTGCTTTTCTGAGAGAGGACGTTGAATATCTATTTATGGTGACTGTGATGATAGAGATTAGTAAATCCCCCGCGGGCCGGTAACTGTGCCAGCAGGCGTGGAGAGTGGCAAAGAATTCTGCAGAAGATGGAGGCCTAGGCACACAAACAAAAATAGCTCAGAAATAGAAAGCGTTCCTTAAGTGCAGAGGCCTCACATTTCCCGGTCCCACCTATTCCGCTTCTCCAGCCACCTGACCTGTATCCAGCTCTTAATCTCTCCTTCATCTTCTGCCTGCCTCCGCTCGCTGTCCCTGATGGACCTAAACTCCCAGCCTTCCTCTCGTCCCCTGGGGCTGGGAGATTGGTACCCGCGGATTTCCCGGGCCCGCCCGCGCCTGCGCAGAGCCTCTTCTCGCGCGAACGTGTAGCCATCCCCCCTCGAGTACCCCGACACCTCGGGGGATGCGGGGTCCGCCGTAAACTAGCCCCCGCTCCTTTCGTGGAACAACGGGCGTCACCTGGGTCTGCTGCGGACTCCTTCAACTCTACACGGCCCCTCTCGCATTCCACGAGATCGCGTCCCCACCGGCGCGCGCCGGCCTCTAAACAGTAACCTCAAAGAACCAGATCCAGGAAGGTCCTGGGGGGGGGAAGGAACGCGGGCGCGCCGGCCGCGAAGTGGCGGCTGGAGCCCCGCCCCCCGGGACGACTTTCTGCCTCCGCATTGGTCCGCGCGCCCGTCAGTCTTCCCGGGGCCGCACCGGCCCGCCTCCCTGGCTCGCTACGCCGCCTGCCTGGCTACCTCGCCGGCTGTCTGCCGCCTCTGCCTGTAAGGACCTGAGCTAGCGCCAGCTCCGCGAAGCTCAGGGAAGAGGGGGGCGGACTCGGCCGCCGCTGAGCATCGGCTGTGTGGGCGGCAGGGCCGCGGCCTCTCCGCCGGCAGCACCACCTGTCGCGGGCCGAGACTTCGGGTAAGGCTCCGCGCAGCACGCGGTTGCTGGCGGCCTGGCGTGGCGGGCCCGGGGCGGGAGCTCCAGGAGCGCAGCGGGGGCCGCCCCCTCCCGCCCGGCCCGCCCACCCGATTGCGGACCCGCCGCCGGCTTTCGGTCGGGCGGCCGGCAAGGACCCGCTTGGCGGATGGGTGGGGCGAGGCGAAGGGAAGCGGCTCCCCGAGCCCGGGGGAGGGCGGGGGAGAGGTCAGGTCGCGGCGGTCCCCAATACGAGCGCCCGCGGCTTTTTCCCGGGCACGGTTTCGGGGCGCGACTTTCCCGTTTCTCGACCCGCTGGTCCCAGGGCGGCGCCCTTGTTGCCCGGGATGAGGTCCTCCTGTGGCTTCCAGACCGCGAGCGTCGCTCTCTCCTGCGCCCTTTAAAGACCGATTTTGTGGCTTGATACCTTTTTATCAAATCTCCTTCTGCAGGGATGAATTAATGACAGGAATTAGGCTGTGTGTGTGTGTGTGTGTGTGTGTGTGTGCGCGCGCGCGTTTGTTCGTTCCTATCTTTAAAGGAAGTTTGCTACAAGCTAGAAAGTTCTACGTTTGGACAGTTCTGCCCGTTCGTGTGAAATGGCATAAATAGACCAGAGCTGGCAGGTGTTTCTTTGACACTGGTGATGACCACCTCTGCTTGTGTGGTGGTGTTACATTTGCGGTCCAGGAATTGACTTCTTTCGTGGTTACAAAAACAATTTTAGAAAACATGTTGCCTTTTGATGAGAAGCTTATTCAAAATGATACATCTTAGTAGTAGCGCTTCCTTACAAAATGCATTATCTCCTTATCTGATTTATTTTCCTAATGCTTGTGGCAGCCGCTTCTAAGCAGAATAGTTAATAGCATTGTTTTTTTCTTTTAGTGTTGTAATTGCTAACAATAGAAGCACGTTTTAATTGTCAGTTCTGGGCCTGACATTGTTCTGTACATGAATCATCTTAAAATAACTCTTTGAGGTTGGTACTGTTATTTCTACTTAACAAATGAAGAAACTAAGGTTTAAGAAGGTTAAGTAACTTGCACAAGATCACAGATTTTATAGGTGGCCAAGTCTGGATTTGAACTCAGGCAATTTAACAAAACAGCTCCAGCTTAGTCACTCCTTAAGCATTGTTCATGTTGTTCAAGTAATTGCAATGTTGTACTCATTAATTTTACTCTTATCTTTACTCATGAATTTATTCTTTAGTTTCCAGGCATCCTGGAAGTTAGAGAAGAAACATTTGCTTGCACTTTCCTCTCCTCACCTTCCCTGTGTGTGTATTTGTATGTGTATGTATAATCTATTGTGTAACTACTAAAACTAAGTTACGTGGTACTATGTTACATGGTTTGCAGAAATACAGAAAAAACAGCTTAACTCTTGTCTTCTAATGTTGGACCTTTAAATAGCTTTGAACTTTGATTTGCAATCTGTGTTTGGTTCTCTTATGGTAGTTATAAAGACTTAATTAAAAGTTAAGCATAGAGCCCAGATATGCTGATAGAACTTTTATCATATATTAAGGAAATGTTGGGCTATGCTTTTGTAGAAGTTCTTCATTCTCTTGAAAATTAAATATACTCTTGCTCAGTACTTACTTCTGAGAAAGAACTACTGACAGGTTTGTCTTACAGGGTGTTTTTGTCTTTTAAAATACACTTGTTATGGAAGTATGTCAAAAATTCATAAAAGAAAAACTAATTTACCATTTAAGAATTTCTTTTGCAAATTAACTCCTATAAAGCTGCTCATAGATAACTTGTATCAAGTTTCCTATAAAAATAAGCTATTCTTAACTATATTAAATTTTATATTAAGTTAAACTAAAATAAATTCTAATTTATGTTGGTGAATTTTCGACAAACTTAGTCATATTTCATTTATTTATTTATTTTTTAAGTAGGATCCACACCCAACTTGGGGCTTGAATTCATGACCCTAAGATTGAAACCTGAGCTAAAATCAAGACAGATACTTAACAGACAAAGCCACTCAGGCACCCCAAATTCAGTCATATTTTAAAACATAAATAATAATTGAAACCTATAGTTGTCTACTGAGGATCAATTTTAGAAGGAGGACAAAATTCATACTATCAAAATCATTCTACATTTAATTTCCTAAAAATCTATTTTATAAAAAGTTAACTTTTATTTTAAAGTCATCATTTTGGTTATATGGCTCTATATTATATTTCCTTTGATCAATATGTACAAATTGCAAAAGTAATGGAAAATACTATATTGATTCTGTAGACATTGTTCAGAATGACATTTGATGTTGCCTGGCTCTGTATATCATCCAAATTCTAATCACTGACCTAGAGATTTAAATCGAAATAGTTTAAATAAGTGCTAACCATGAGTATCCTTATAGCCTCAAGGATTTCACAGTAGAAGATATTGATGCAGAAACTAACAGGCATTCAGAACTCATCTTCTGACCACCATAGTCTGTCACTACTACTAATAGTGCTTAAAGAACTAACATTTATAGAGCACTTAGAGGGCACTGTGATAAGCATCTTACATGGATTATCTAATAAAAATCTTAAAATGACACTGTTTAGTAGGTCCTGTTATTATCCCCATTTGAGTGATGAGAAAGCTGCAACAGACTTATTCAAAATCAGAGTAAGAATTGGCCAAACCAGGATTTAAACCCAATAGTTTGATTCCAGAGCTTGCCTTTGACTACTCTGCTAAACTGCCTGGATATGGATTTTATTGAATAAACTTTCACGTCAAGTAGTCAGGCTCTTTATGATGATGATAAAGCTCTTAATTGCTTGATACTTTGTAAATATCATCATTACTACACACAGCTCTGCAAACCAGAGTTCCCTCTCCCTTGTTTCATTGATGAGAGAAATGAGACTTCTAAGGCAGTCCTGAGACTTTTGGACTTGATGGGCAAGTGTGTATAGGGGGACAATTGGGACCAGACATACACTGCCAACTTTTAATTCTATTAAGGTTAAGGACTCTTTTAAGAACTATTGAAATCCACCATCACCATCTTTTCATAAAAGAAAAGACTTTTTATCACCAAACAGATAAGGAGATCATAATTAGAATAGGAAAACGAAGAGAATAAATTTTGTTTTATGAAGAACTATATTGCATTGCTCAGTTTTTCTCATTTGGCCACACAGCAGTGAGAAATGTGTCCCAGGCTAACACCAATTCAGAAGCCGTTGGGAATGTCTGGGTGACACAACCGCATCCAGAGTGGTGATGGGCTGAGTCCAGATTCCGATCCCAGTCGGACTGCAGAGCTTGTGCTCATTGCACTCAGTCACGACCTCTAATTTCTGTCTCCCTTGCAGTGACCTCCTTTAACCCCAAGTAGGGGGCCAGGGAGAGTTGTCTCCAGCAGCCAGTGGTCTAGCAGTTCCTGTCCTGGTCCAGCTTGTAAACACCAGAGAGTAAGTTCCAGGGCAAGGCAATGTGAATGACACACCGGGGGGAGAAACCAGAGGCAGATCTCAGTATTCCAGAAGCTGTCAAGGAAGCAAGCGGCTTGATTTTACATGTCAATTAAAAATTAGAAACGCTGCCTTTTGGTTCCTGTTTTTACTTCACTCATTCTTCGACTTCTCCTTCCAACCCACCTGCATAACAGCGTTTTATCTTGTTGCCTCTCATTGTTCTTATTACTGGTATTTAAGCCTACCTGTCTATCTCTTATTCCTTGGTTTTAGTTTTGGCAGATTTTTTTTTCCTTAATTCTTTTTTTAACTTATGACCACTGTTTTCAAGACACTATTAAAATTACCTTTACATTTTATTTTATTCTCTATCACTCACTAACAAAGTAATTTTAGTGATTAAACATTCTTTAATTATAATACTTTTTTGCATATAGTCTCATTTGATCATCATAATTATCTATAAGGTAGATTTGACAAGTGATGTTATCTTTATTATACAGACTAAATTCAGTATTAGGTAGAAGCAAAACTTTAACCAGGAACTGAAAATAGATTTCATGTATTAGAATGCTGCTCTTAAGTTAAATTCTGAAAGGTAAAACTTTAATCTTCCTTACTCGCAGTGTCAGTTCTTCTGGCCACTAAATGTGGGACTTCTCCCCCCACAACCCCGCTCCCCCGCAATTCTCCAATTCTCAGCAGATGCTGATTGGGTTTGCTTTAATGTAACTTAATTCTGACACTGTCCATATGGAGATAGCTTCAGATCCCATAGGTTAAGGATTAGGTCCCAAAAGACAGCCCCTACTTGAGATGCCAATCCTAAGTCCCAGGTTGTGACCCATACTTCTGACCAACTCTCTATAAATCGAGGCTTCGCACAACCCCCTCTGTTTCGATGATTTGCTATAATGGCACACAGGCTTACTTACATTTGCTGGTTTATTATAAAATGATACAACTCAGGAACAGAGGGAAGGGCTACATAGAACTATGTATTGATGGGGGTGGGGGTGGAGAGGCATAGAGCTTACTTATCTTGCCTGGGTGTGCCATCCCCCCGCACCTAGATGTGTTCACCAACATGAAAGCTCAACAGATCTCCTTGTTAAAAAGGGCCCCTGCCCACTTCCATTTCTGGAGGTTCTGGAGGTTCTGGAGGGGGGCAGTAAATTTCTACTCTCTAATCACTTGGTGTTTCTGGTGACCAGCTCTATCTGAGGCTTTGCAGTGGTCCATCCTAGGTCACCTCATAAGCATAAACTCGAATGTGATCAAAAGTGTCTTCTTATGAGTAACAAAAAATACTCCTCTATCATTCAGGAAATTCCAAAGATTTTTAGGAGCTCTGTTCCAGAAACTGGGGACAAAAACCAAATGTATTTCTTTTTTTATTATTTATTTATTTATTTATTTATTTTAAAAAGATTTTATTTATTGATTTGACAGAGAGAGATCACAAGTAGACAGAGAGGCAGGCAGAGAGAGAGAGAGAGGGAAGCAGGCTCCCTGCTGAGCAGAGAGCCCGATGCGGGACTCGATCCCAGGACCCTGAGATCATGACCTGAGCCGAAGGCAGCGGCTTAACCCACTGAGCCACCCAGGCGCCCTATAGTTCTTTTTTTAAAAAAGATTTTATTTATTCATTCATGGAGGGGGTGCAGAGGGAGAGTGAGAGGCAGTGAATCTGAAGCAGACTCCGCCCTGGAGCCTGTCTTGGGGCCCGACCTCAGGATCGTGAGATCATGACCTGAGCAGAAATCAAGAGTCAGACATTTAACTGACTGAGCCCCCCAGATATATTTCTTATCATACCACAAGTACTAATGACAAAATAATTTTTTTTCAGATTGCCTTTGATTTAAAGTAAAAAGTATTCTATACTATATCGTAGATTTGCCTACCTCACCAATATACTGGAATACTAACCCAGTTTTTTGGTACCAAAGTTTTAATTTTGACAAATAATGCTGTCTTTCCTGGAAGAACCACACAAACACATAATCAGTGCAACCATTTCAGTCTTTGAAATTTATTTTGAAATGATTTGAAAGGCTTTGGTTGCATATATCATACTTCTTGGCCCCTTAATACTTCACTGTGTTTTCAGGACAAGTATATCTCTTCCATATGGTTATCAAATACAGAAAATTTAATATTTCATAGTACTTTTATTTAAGCTACAGTATATCTTTTAGTTTTGCCAGTTGTCCCAATAAGTGTCCTTGATAGCATTTTTTTTTTTATTCAGGCTTTGCATTTAGTTGTCATATGTTCAGTCTTCTTTATTTTATTTTTTATTTTTTTTTTAAGATTTTATTTATTAATTTGACACAGAGAGAGAGAGAGAGAGATCACAAGTAGGCAGAGAGGCAGGCAGAGAGAGAAAGGGGGAAGCAGGCTCCCACTGAGCAGAGAGCCTGATATGGGGCTCGATCCCAGGACCCTGAGATCATAACCTGAGCTGAAGGCAGAGGCTTAACCCACTGAGCCACCCAGGCACCCCCTGTTCAGTCTTCTTTAAATTGCAGTAGTTCCTTAGTGTCTTTCACTAACATTTTAAAGTGACCCAATTATTTTGTTGTATATCTCTCATAATTCTTTTTTATTATTACTGAAGTATATTTGGCATATGACATTGTATAAATTTAAGGCATATAATATTAATTAGATATATTTATATATTATAATATGTTTGTCATTGTAGTGATAATTGTCACCTCTCATGTTATATAATTATCATTTTTTTTTTTAGTGGTTGGAACAATTAAGACCTAGTCTCTTAAAAAGTTTGATGATTATAATACAATGTTATCTATATTCACTATACTACGCATTAGATCTTTAGGAGTTATTATTTCTTAGGACTCTCACTGCAAGTTTGTATCTTTAAACATCTGTCCTGTCCTCCCACCCCCAGTCCACATCTTTCATGATTCTTGATGTCCTTGTAATCATATAAATTTTTTGTTTTTGTGGACACATTTATGCACCACATTTATAGGAAATATCCAGAATCGGTAAATCCATAACGACAGAAAACAGGTTGCTGGTTGTAGGCACTGGAGGAGGGAAAGAACTGCTTAAATGGGTAGTGTTTCCTTCTGGGATGGTGATGATGTTTTGGAACTAGGAAGAGGTGGGTTGCACAACATTGTGGATTTTCTAATCCCTCTCAGTTGTTCACTTTGAAATGGCAAGTTTTGTTGTGTGAATTCACTTCCATAAAATTAACTTAAAAAATAATCTCACTGTAATGGTTTGCTGCGCTCCATATACAAACCTTGATTTCTAAGCAAATAAAAATTCCAGTAAAAAACTTATTGCGGGATGATTTCAATGATTTGTAATGATTAAGATAAATGGGCTTTGCAAGTTCATTTTGGGTGGGAGAATTGATATGCAGAAGAATCTATTGTATCCTTATTTTAAATATTTAATGTGCAATATATTATGTGGAGTTTTCCATTTTGAAAAATTTCCATGTGTCTGTGATGGTCGTGAAAAGGCAAAAACATGTTTTCTAGCCAATTTGCGTGTTTTATATTAAGTAACAGGTTTTTTGAAAAGAAAAAATATTTAGTATATTACCTTTAAACACTGACTGTATTAATACATTAAAATTATACAGCTAGATTAAGAGTTTGAATGGCTTCTCTTCCTCTGGATGTTTATGCTCCAGGATTTCCTGGTAACTTACTTTTCCACCTTCAACCTAAACTCCCATACGCATTTACATGGACCATACCGTATGTCTTTGTTTACTAGATGTTACCTTGTTTCTTAATTGCTGGATTTCTTTCTTTCTCTCACAATCAGGAGATACATACCTTGCCACACTTGTGGCTTAGAAAAAGAATGAGTGTTTAGCACACTGTAGTATACAGTACATACAAAATAACAATGATGACTAACCAGGGACTTAGAGTATTATCAGGAAAAGTCAGTCGTTGTTTTCACCCAGTTACTTTTTTACAATGGTTACAACCTGTAGAAACATAAATGTACTTTGATAAAGCTTTTTCAAGTGTGGAAAATTAAGCTTTCTGTATCTGCTTTTGAAAACTGATACCTAATGTGCATGCATTCTGTAATATGTTTCTCATCCGTTATCTGCTGCCTTTTCCTCAGGTGAAAGGAAAGATGTTGTCCCGGTTAAGAATAGTTGCTACTCCCTATACTCTAGCATGTCGTCATATGCACATAAAAGAAAAAGGCAAGACACTCATGTTGAACCCAAGAACAAACAAGGTTAGTAACATTAATACTAACATAACATTTTCTCTCTTCCTGGTAAAGATTTGATATATTTTAGGCTGATAGAGTATGAACTTTTTAAATTTTGTAGCTTTATACTAAAATTATTCAGAGGTATTTGCTTTTTCTGTATGACTTTCCACTTTTCTCCACATGGCAAGAATCACAGCTACTTGATGGGTCTGTTTCACCACTCAAATTCTACTACCAGAAGAAGATTGACTTTGTTTCCTGGTTTCAGCTAAAAAATATCCCTAGAATAGCAGTCTGCCCAGAACTTTCAGGCAGTGGGGGATACTTAGATTTACCCAGCTCAAATCCAACTGAGCCCTTGGAAGATGGGGTTAAAATTGTAAAATGAACTATTGTCTAATGTCTGCACCTCCACCCAACTTCTTGGACACAGATCATTGCACACAAGTGCTTTTGCCCATTAATCTCACAGTACTGCTTCATGGTGGAGAGACTTCCAGCCCCCTCTTTATAGTCTTGGGGTAGAAGTGATGGGCATTATTGATACCTAGTCTTGCCTTTACTCCATGGCCAAGCTGTGTTCAGTGGGCAAGTCCCTCTCTGTTTTCTAGTGGAGATAGGAATTAGTAAGTACATGTATTTCTAGAAAACGATTTCTCACCAAAAGCTTGTAAGAGGATACACTGAGTTCATTGTAATGGGTGAAATTTATCTCTTGGGAATAATGCATACAGTTAAGGTATGACTTATTTTAAAACAACAGTCATCAGAAATTTGCCAATGCTGTTTATTTCCCATGGTGGGGGTTAAGGATAACTAATTGTACAGTATGATATGTTTTGAAGGATTTCAGGCCTACAAAGGGAAATTGACCAGGGGCTACCCAGACTGCCTTATTTTTGCATTTTTGGTACCTAAGACAGAATGAGAATTCAGCAGGTAGTAGTGAATTGAATGAAGCTTAATGAGGGATATTCTAATGCTCTCTTGTTTTTGCCTCACTTCCCCAAATCTTGCTTGCTCTTCAAGATGCAACTCATTCAAAGTCAAGTTCTCCTGTAGCAAATTTTCGTACACCATAGACTGGAATAATGGCTCCCTTCTCTGAAGCCCTATAGCAGTTTTTGTCTTCCTGTTCCTGTAGCAAGTAATCAACATCTTGCTGTGTGCTTCCTTTCATGCCTTAAGTTGTCATTGAAGTAATTGTTGGTATTTACGTTTTCATGAATTTATATTTCTTACCTATATTTTGGGACCATTCAAAATTTTATGTTTTTTACAATGCCATGGGTATAGTAAATATTTGCTAATTATGTTGGTCTTATTTTTTTATCCTTAAACTACTTAAAGCATACTATGAGGGAATTGTGAGTAATTTATAAGGTAGTTTAAGTAGCAAATTAATTTTAAGGAGGAGGGTAGTCTAAAATGCATCACAGTACTTCTGCAAAGATAGTAACTAATGCTCTGGGCCTCTGAGATCTTGACGGTTGGATAGCATCTGTAAGGTTACCTCACTGAAGGATAATTTTTGGAAACCCCTTAAACATCAGGAAGAGTTTTTTGTTGTGCATGTTTAAGAAGGAACATAAACTAGGGATTCCTGATTTGAGGGTCGTGAAATCCTTGGGGACTTGAAAGACATCAGATTTGTGCTTCAAACATCATAGGCTAAATGTTTTAAGAGTATGTTGCTGCTATGATTAATAAAATAATAATTTTAGACAGTATTGAATTCTTTTGAGATTGTGATTTTTTTTTAAAGATTTTATTTATTTCACAGAGAGAGAGAGAGAGATCACAAGTAGGCAGAGAGGCAGGCAGAGAGAGAGGGGGAAGCAGGCTGCCCGCTGAGCAGAGAGCCCGCTGTGGGGCTCGATCCCAGGACTCCGAGATCATGACCTGAGCCGATGGCAGAGGCTTAACCCACTGAGCCACCCAGGTGCCCCTGTCTGTGATCTTTTAAGATGTCTGTAATCACTGTCTACTAAAGGCAGACCTGTTACTATGTCTTTAAGGCTTTTTCAATTTGGTAAATAGTGTACAGGTCAGTGACATTTAAGAACATTCACTGTGGTGCCTCCATCACCTGAAATGGAAACCCAGAAGCCATTCTGCAGTCACAGCCCCCATCCCCCACCACCTTCTCAGCCCCTGGCAACCACAAATCTGTTTTCTCTTCCCTATAGATTTACCAATTCTAGTATGAATATGAAATTCTTTATGACATTTTTAAAAAGTCCTTATATGTTAAAGGAGTGGACATCATTGTGCCAGGTTATATGCAGGTGTTCTGGTGTGCATTTGGATTCACTAGCCATGAAACTTTGGGTCTTTATTTAACCTCTCCAGATCTCAGTTTTCTCACTTAAATCATGTAGGTGATACATTTTGAAATGTTCAAAAGGCTGTGTGTGTGGAAGGTTGGCTTTCCCCTTCTCTCTTTATGCTCATATGGTAACCTTTTTAGATAACTTTTTGAACCTCATCTCTGTATCCTGTAGGAATGTATGCACTTTCCAGTTTGTACCTGGAGCTCTGGTTTAATGGTTCTTGGTTCTTTGAGGTTTTTTGTTTGTTTTTATTTTAACTCCCCTGGCCACACCTCTAATAAACTAATTCAGAATTTTCTTTTTTATTTGCATAAGTAACAATTACATTACAACTAATAAAAGAAAGAAAGATCACATTCCTACCATCCCAGTAGATCATCTGTTTTTATTTTGCCAAAGCCCCTTAAGAGTATATTTACTTTGAAGATCCTAGGATACAATTTTACATGTCATTTTCCTACTGGGAATAGTATTTTACAAATAATCTCTATGATGCCTCATAAGCCTTCTATATATGGCTGCATCACAGTCCAGTAGGTAGATCTAGACTCACAGAGACTGAAGAGAGACCCAGCTTGACCCTTACAGGCTGTGTGATCTTCAGTGTAGCTACAACTTCCCAGATCCCAGTTTCTTCATCTGAACTGTTGTGGAGAAAAAGGAATATTGTAAAGCTACTTTAAGCACTGTAAATTCTATGTAAGTGTGAGTTACTCCCTTCAGGGGATGTTTTATAATTTGGTTAGTCATGATGCTATTGTCGAATATTGTTTTCAGTCTTGACATTATGCATCGTTAGTTACTAGTTAGCAGTTTTGTAAGTAGGTATTTGGTGACTTCTTAATTCCTGACGGTTTATTCTAACTACACTTCAAGGGAAGCAAATAGAAGGGGCTTTTTCTTTCTTCCCAGTATGTTTACATGTATATTCAAATCTAGTTAATGGATTTTTATCAATACTGGCTTATGTGAAGAAATTGAGTGTGTCTAGAGGAAAATAGCTCAGGGGATCTTTCAGGATCAGCCAAAGAAGACACACTTCCACGCTGCTAAATGGGAGGGCATTGTTGAGGAATAGATGAGAAAAGGGCAGACATGGAGAGACAGGTGACCTGGGGAGATGGAGGAGGAGGAAAAACGGACCGTTAAAGAACTGATCGAGGCGTTCATTTGAAGCTAATGTCATCTTTGTGGGCGTGTTTCACTTGTTAATACCAGGCTGGCAAATTTAAGCATTTGATCAATTACTAACTTAAATACTTACTATATAAAAGTTTTTTTTTTTTTTTTTAAGATTTTATTTATTTATTTGTCAGAGACAGAGAGAGTGAGCAAGCACAGGCAGACAGAGGCAGAGGGAGAAGCAGGCTCCCTGCCGAGCAAGGAGCCCGATGTGGGACTCGATCCCAGGACGCTGGGATCATGACCTGAGCCGAAGGCAGCCGCTTAACCAACTGAGCCACCCAGGCGTCCCATAAAAGTGTTTTTTAAATCATTTTAATTTCTACCCTGCATTATAAATAAAATGCTTTCTTTTTTCACTTTTTTTTTTTTTTTTTTTTTTTTTAAGTAGGCTCCTCACCCAACGTGGGGCTTGAACTCATGACTCTGAGATCAAGACCCAAGCTGAGATCAACAGTTGGACACTTGGGGCTCCTGAGAGGCTCAGTTTTTTAAGCATCTGACTCTTGATTTCGGCTCAGGTCATGATCTCAGGGTCATGTGGTGGAGCCGCATGTCGGGTTCTGTATTCAGCTTGGAGTCTGCTTGAGATTCTCTCTCTCCTGTCCCTCCCACTGCTCATTCACTCTCTCTCTCAATAAAGAAATAAATAAAATCTAAAGAGTTGCACACCCAACTGACTGAGCTACCCAGGCACCCCAAATATACACTTTTGAGTGTCCCTTCAACCTAACTTTTGAGTGTCCCTTGAACCTCAGTAGGAGATAGGCAGTGACACCTTGTGTAACCAAGTCATTTACCTTTGCCGGTAGGGTAGGTAAGGCACCTTTAAGTGAAATAATTAGTTCATTTAAATCTAAATTTTAGGGGTACCTGGCTGGCTTACCATGTGACTCTTGATCTTAGGGTCATGAGTTCATGCCCTGCATTGGGTGCTGAGCTTACTTAAATAAATGGGTAATTTAATTTAAAAAAATAAATAAGGTTTAGCTTTTCCACTTTAGTCTTGTACTAAAGTGGGAAAAGGAAGTAAGGGTGAAAGTTTGGGTTTTACTTCTTTTATATATCCCAGCCTTAGGTAAAATCTTAGGAGAAACATGAGTTGCAAAGATTTAGAGATTTCAGTATTCTCCCTTTCTCCTTTTTCCAGTATAGCTAAAGGTTTGTCAGTTTTGTACATCCTTTCAAAGAACCAATTTTTGGGTTCACTGATTTATTTTTCCAGTTGTTTTTTCTGTTATCTATTTCATTTATTGTCACTCCGATCTTTTGTATTTCCTTCCTTTTTACTTCAGGTTTAGTTTGCTCTTTCGCTCCCCTGCTAGTTTTTTTTCTTTCTTCCATTTTTTTTTTTAAAGATTTTTATTTATTTATTTTGAGAGAGAGAGAAAGAGAAAGAGAGAGCATGAGCAAGGTGAAGGGCAGATGGAGAAGCAGACTTCCTGCTGAGCAGGGGGCTCAATGTCGGATTCGTTGCTGGGACTCCAGGATAATGACCTGAGCTGAAGGCAGACACTTAACTGACTGAGCCAACCAGGTGCCCTTCCCTGGTAGTTTCTTAAGGTATAAATTTAGATTATTGATTCAAAATCTTTCAACCTTTTTAGTGTGGGCATTTATACCTGTGAATTTCCCTATAGGCATTGTTTTCACTGCATCCCCATAAGTTTTGGTATGTGTGTTTTAATTCATCTCCAAGTATCTTCTAATTTCCTTTGTGATTTCTTCTTTGGTCAGTTGGTCATTTTGGAGTGTGTTGTTTGAAATCCACATATTTGTGAATTCCCCAAATTTCCTTCTATTGCTGATTTTTAATCTCATTGCATTATGGTAGGAGATCATATTTGGATTTAAATCCTTTTAAATTTATTGAGACTTGTTTTATGGTTTAAGACTATGCTTTATGTTTAATTCCATGGGCCCTCAATTTGAAGGATGTGTTTCCTGCTGCTCTTGCGTGAAATGTGCCATACGTGTCTGTCAGGTTTAGTCGCTTTATAGTGTTGCTCAGGTCTTCTGTTTCCTTTTGATTTTCTATGTAATTGTTTTCTCCATTATTGGAAATGAGGTATAGAAGTCTCCAACTTGTCTTTCTTCCTCGGATTCTGTCAGTTTTTGTTTCATGTATTCTGGGCTTTTTTCACAGATGCATATATATTTATAATTGTTACATCTTTTTAATAGATTGACCTTTTTATCATTATAGAATGTCCTTCTCTATGAACAATGTGTATTTCACAATCATTTTGTTTGTTATTAATTTAGCCATTCCAGCTCTCTTTGGCTTACTATTTACATGGTGTATCTTTTTCCATCCTTTTACTTTCTACCTAATTGTGTTTTGAATCAAACTGTGTCTCCTGTAGACAGCATAAAATTGGATTGTGTTCTCCATCTTGCCAATCCATACCTTTTTTTTTTTTTTAAAGATTTTATTTATTTATTTGACACAGAGAGAGAGATCACAAGTAGGCAGAGAGGCAGAGAGAGAGGAGGAAGCAGGCTCCCTGCTGAGCAGAGAGCCTGATGCGGGGCTCGATCTCAGAACCCCGAGACCATGACCCGAGCCAAAGGTAGAGACTTAACCCTCTGAGCCACCCAGGTGCCCCAATCCATGCCTTTTTATTATAGATTTTTATCCATTTACATTGATAAGATATGTTATGTCCGTCATTTTGCTGTTGGTTTTCTAAGTGTCTTTTTTTGTTCCTCTATTTCTCCATTGTTCCCTTCCTTTGTGTTAAACTACATTTTCTAATATACCATTTTAATTCCCTTGTCATTTCTTCTAGTGCCTTTTTCTGAATTATTGTCTTAGTGGTTTGCTCTGGGGATGATAATTACCATTTTCATAACAATTTAATTCAGACTGATTCCAACTTAATTTTAATAGTACATACAAACCGTTCTCGTATAGTTCCATCCATTCCTTCTGTCTGCTTTGTCATAAAAATTACATGTTTATACATTGTTTGATCATCAATACAGATTTATAATTATTTCTTTATGTAGTTGTCTTTTAAGTCAGGTAGGAGAGACAAAGAGCTACAAACAAAAAAAAAACACATTCATACTGACTTTTATATTTACCTATATGGTGATCTTACCTGTGTTCTTTATTTCTTTGTGTAGATTTGAGTTACTGTCCAGTGTCTTTCTTTCACCCTAAAGGACTCCCTTTGATATTCCTTGTGAAACAGGCCTGCCAACAATGAGTACTCTATCTTTATTTGAAAACATCTAAATTTCTTCTTCATTTTTAGATAATTTTGTAAGGATTTAGAAATTCTTGGTTGACAGCTTTTTTTTTTTCTTTCAGCACTTTTAATATGTCATCCTACTGCATTATGGCCTCTGTGGTTTCTGTTAAGAAATTAGCTGCTCCTCTTTTTGAAGGTCCCCTGTGCATGTTGAGTGACTTCTCCCTGCTTTCAAGTTTCTTCTTTTAGCTTTTAACAGTTTGAACGTGACATTTCTAGATGTAGATCTCTTTGAGTTTTTTCCCGGATTGGAGCTGTTGAGTTTCTAGGATGTGTGTTTCTTCTAGGGGTAATGTTTCTCACCAAATTTGAGAAGCTTTTGGGCATTACTTCTTCAAATATTCTTTTGTCCTTTTCTCTTCTTGCCTTCTGGGACTCCTGTTATGCATACGTTGGCACACTTGATGGTGTCCCACAGGTCTCTGAGGCTCTGTTCATATTTACTCATTGCTTTTTCTCTCTTCTCAGACTGGATTATCTCAATTGACTTTTCTTTATGTTTGCCGATCCTTTCTTCCACCTGCTCAAATCTGCTGTTTAGTCCCTCTGAATCTTTTTATTTCAGTTATTGTACTTTGAATTCCAGAATTTCTATATTTGGTTCTTTTTTTACATCTCTTCATTGATATTCTGTAGTTAGTGGGATATCATTCTTGTATTTCCCTTTAGTTCTTTAGATGTGGTATCCTTTAGGCCTTTGAATATATTCAAAATCACTGAAGTCTTTAGTTAGTATAATGTTTGAGCTTCCTCAGGGACAGTTTCTATTAACTAACTACTCTTTTTCCTGTGTATGAGCCAGACTTTGTCTTTTTGCATGTCTTACAATTTTTTGTTGAAAACTGGACATACTCAATAATGTGACTTCTCTGGAAACCAGATATTCCTCCCAGGGTTTCTTGTATTGCTATTGTCTGTTTAGTGACATTTCTGAACTAATGCTTTTAAGGTGTGTAAAGTATACTTGAACTATTTAAAATCTTCATCTTGTTTTGATATGCCCACTAAAGTCTGCTTTGTTGGCTTAGTCATCAACTAGTATTTAGAGACTTAAATACCTAAGGGCTCTGTGTACATTTGGGGGCGTGCCTTTTGTACTTAGGCAGTTTACAACTACACATCAGCCTTTACCTCCTGCTTACACAGAGCCTCAAGATTAACCAGAGGTGGGAGCTAAGGGCCTTCCCAAGTCTTTCCTGGACTTGCCGATAGCTCCCAGTGATCATCTAGATTCTTGGGAACATTTGAAGCTTTTCAAATTCCCAACCACCCTGTGGACATTTTGTTCCTCGGCTTTTCCTTTTCAGCTTTTTGGTTAGCCTATTGTTTGCCTCAGCTGTTATCCACTGCCTTAGGCAGCTCCCATGTTAAATAATTACTTCTGATTGTTTTCAACAAGCTCTTCTGGAGAAAAACCTGTTCACACTGGGTGAACTCCAGATCATATTTAATAAAGCCTTGCAAGTGGGGTTGTCCACTAAACCACCAGACAGGCCAAAAAATGACAAATTTCCTGAGTATGGGACTGTAGAATTATCTCCAACCTCTCTTTAGTAGCTGCCAGGCTCTGTTTTTCAAAGCTTATTGTTTCATAATGATTGCTGTTTTCTAGGCTACTGTGGAGCTGGGGAGGGAAGCATAGGAATAAGGCAAATAAAAATGTCACAAAGCTTGCTGTTCTTATGAGAATTCAGCTGTTTTTCTTGAATAAAATGTCCCCTGATTGCTGAAGCCTTTGATTAGTTTCCAGAATTCCAAAGAAGTTTATTCTGATCACTTGGCCAATGTTCTTACCGTTTTTGTAGAGGAAAAGATTTGGGAAATCCTTACTCTGGCATTTTCACTGACATCACTTCTATGAAAAGAATTTAACACACAACTGAATATCAGAAATTGGAAAAGATTTTCTTATGACATAGGTTCATTTCTTCCTAAGTACCATTGCTTCCTTTGCCCTCTAACTCAGCCTCTCTTTCTAGTGAGGGTAGCTCTATCATCAGTTTGGTCTGTGTTCTTTCAAGCTGTATTCTGTTAATTTCATTTCTAATGTATGGATATATCTGTGTATATGTACTTTATGTGGGTTTTCTGAACATAACAGTCAACAGTGAGTGTGTTTGATTTGCAACTTGCTTTTTTTTCCTTGACTATATGTCTTTGAGGTAATTGTACATAACTGGAGATCTGTGTTTAAGTATATGGTATTTCATGGTATGGAAATACCATAGGTTCCTTAACTGTTCCATAATTAATGGGCTTTTAGTTAGCTTGTAATAGTCAAGAAAACTAGAAACAGTACTATAGTCTTTTTGTATACTTGTCTTTATTTTATGTATGAATATTTCTCTAAGAAGACTGTCTAGATGTAGTGTATGTGCATTAGATTTTAAAAATATTTTTAAGTTGTCTTTTTAAAAACTTAAACCTGTTTACATTTCCAGCAATGATATGTGAGAGTAACTCTTTTACCACACCGTTACCATTATTAGAGATGACCAGTCTTACAGATTTTTGACAGTGTGGGCAAAATGATATCATACTGATTTTTTAAAAATTTACATTTAAATTACATTTTGTAGGATAGTACCATTGCAACCTCAGTAAACAATGATTTTTCATCCTTTTCTCCTTTTTAGGGAATGGCATTTACATTACAAGAACGACAAATGCTTGGTCTTCAAGGACTTCTACCTCCCAAAATAGAGACACAAGATATTCAAGCTTTACGATTTCATAGAAACGTAAAAAAATTGAATGGCCCTTTGGAAAAGTAAGAGTCGATTAAATGTTTAGTTCTTTATTGATGCTCTGATCAGGAAAATTGGGAACATTATGGTTGTTGTTGCATAAGAAATATGCAGTCTTATAATGAAGTTTGTGTTTTAGGCAGTTAACTGTTATTTTTATAATGTTTATGTTTCCTTTATTTCACTGAATATTTGTGTTCACTATTGTAAAATTTAGCAGAAATCTATTATTTATTTATTTATTTGACAGAAATCACAAGTAGGCAGAGAGGCAGTCTGTGGGGGGTGGGGGGTGGGGAGCAGGCTCCCTGCTGAGCAGAGACCACCCCCCCATGCAGGGGCTCAATCCCAGGACCCTGAAATCATGACCTGAGCTGAAGACAGAGGCTTAACTCACTGAGCCACCCAGGTGCCCCAGAAATCTATTTTTTAAGCCTAAAATCACAGAACATTTCAGCTGTGATTGGAATATTAGAAGCAAAAACTGTCACCTAATTTGTACCCTTTCTCTTCAACAACTTTTATTAATCCTCTGCTTTGTGTGTGTCACTATACTAGTCACTGAGGTTGTGAAGTAAGTAAAAGATAGGTGATCAGTTAATATGTCATCCAATCCAGGGGAGTGAAAAAGAGAAGTAACTGAAACTGTCCCAGGTAAAACGGAGTGTATTGGCACCCCATAGCACACAGCCCTGCATTCTAGGAGCTCATCAGTAGTTATACTGTGATCATCATCATACACTATACTGCAGTGTGCAGCAGAGAAAAGGTACATGCAGAGGATATTCTGAACTTAAAGAGTAACTAACCGAGCTTAAAGAGTACATTAAAGCTTCCTAGAGAAGTGATGCCTGAGCTGAGTTTTAAACAGTACGTTACAAGGGATAGGTAACATGAGAAAGAAGGGCAAGGTATTCTGTGTAGAGAGATCAGTCTGAATGCAGAACTTAAAATATCTTTTGGGGAACGCCTGGGTGGTTCAGTGGGTTAAGCCTCTGCCTTCGGCTCAGGTCATGAGCTCAGGGTCCTGGGATTAAGTCCTGCATTGGGCTCTCTGCTCAGTGGGAAACCTGCTTCCCCCTCTCTCTCTGCCTGCCTCTCTGCCTACTTGTGATCTCTCTCTCTGTCAAATAAATCAATAAATAAAATCTTAAAAAAAAAAAATCTCTTGGGGGTCAGCACCTGGGTGGCTCAGTTGTTAGGTGTCTGCCTTCCGCTCGGGTCATGACCCCAGGGTCCTGGGATTGAGCCCCCTACAACCGCTCCCTGCTCAGTGGCGAGCCTGCTTCTCCCTCTCCCACCACCCATGCTTGTGTTCCCTCGCTCGCTCTCTCTCTCTCTCTCTCTCTCTCTCTGTTAAATAAATAAATAAAACCTTTGAAAAATATATCTTTTGGGTTTGTTAAGTACAGGAGATTATTGTTTGATGACAAGTAAGAGTAGTTTCTTTGATCTGATGGGGCAAAAGGAAGAGAACAGTAGACTGAGAAATGATTGAGATGAAAGGGAATCCAGACTGTTTCAAGAAGTTAGATAAGGGGATAGGAAGGACACTGAGCACTAAGTAAAGCAAGACTTGGGTTTCTAGTCCTGCTTGGAAACTATATTTGGGGGTGTATATTTCAGGCCAGAAGGAGGTTTAAGGTGCTCACGCTGTGAGGAATGAGCCCAGAAGAAAGGGTAACTGATAGAACAAGATCCCAGAGAATGGAAAGGGACAGAGGGACAAGTGCAAAGTAGAGCTCATAGGGTCAAAGGCAAAGATAGAGGGCGTAGGGTCAAGTGCAGAGGTAGAGGCTGGCCTTGGAACAAGAAAAAAGAAAAGCTCATTCTCTGAGGCAAGAGCAAAGATAAAATATAGGCACAGGTAGGGGTAAACCCTGCAGGTGGTGGAGCAGAGCCTGTGAGATCCCATCCCACCTGATGACCTTGATTTTCTGTGATGTAGAATATGAAGGTCTTGGCTAAGATTTGTAAGGGTCAAGGTTAAACAGAATTGGTGAGGACAGTGATAAATGTTTAGAATAGCCATTTAGCCAAAAGTGAAGCTGAACAAGGACAGATTAAAAACCTGGGTAGGCCCGGAAGGCCTCATAGCATAATCTTATTTTTATTGATGCTACCCTGCCCAGCTATGTTATTTTTTCCTCAGAAAAGATGAAATGTAACGGTAGTTCAGGTTTGGGGTTTGCTGGGCTGGCAACGATGCTACATTAACTCATTCAACTAATATTCATTCAGGTCTCCTATGTGCCAGGCAGGCATTGTTTTAAGCTCTAGAACTACAAAAATGAGAAATTCCAGCCCTTGCCTTCAGGGAGTTTATGGCTGGAAAAGACAGACACCGTGGCAGGGTAGTGCTGTGATAAAGGTGCGGGGGTGTTCCACAATGGTGAGGATTTGTTGAGGGTGAGAGGCATGATTGTGGATCCAGTGTGGGGAAGGAAGAAATGCCAGCAGGGAGCCTAATAGAACCAGAGAAAATGAAGCGATCCAGGAGCCAGGGCTCTCCGTCAGAACTGTGGGGCACGGCATTGTATAGCTAGCTAAAGAGGGGAGGGTTGTGATCAGAGGACTGCATCTGTGGCATTCAGGATTTCTGAGCTGTAGCAGTCCTAGGTGAGGACAAGATCCAGTGGGAAGCATTCAGAGGAGTGACCAAAGTGAAAGGAAGGTGAAAGTGAATCACATGTGCCTGATAAGTCATCTGTTCTTGATGTCTCTGCTGTTTCATAAAGCTAGTCCATCTTCATTGTTTGTTTTCTTCCCTAGCCTGAGGAGCCATCTCCTTCCCTTTGCTACCTATTGGCATTATTTCTGCCTGCAGTAGCTACATAGAAAATATTCCTTTTATAAATGGAATCACTTCTCCCTATTTATTCACCAAATATTTGCACACCACTTACATTGCATTTACTTTGGTAGTTACTGGAAATAATAGATTTATATAAGGCAGTAGTCCCTAGCTCATAATATCATCCAGGCTGGGGGGAAGACAAAGTCAGGAAGTGGACTGAGAATTGCAGAAATAGGACTAGGGTGTTGAGGGACCTGAAAACAGGAAAATCTGTGTATATATGTGTGGTGGGGGAGGGAAAAGGGCAGAAAGGGAGAGCATGCCACCTGTGTTGCATTCAGGGAGTGTAAGTATGGGACTGTGCATGGGTAGAGGGTGATCCAGGCAAAGAGTGTCTTGTGTATAGCGACACCAAGGTAAGAGATGTGGGGCATTTGAGAAACTGAAGTTAAGTTCAGCAGGAGGATGAAGCTAGGAAGTAGGCAGAGATCTTGGTAACTATTTTAGAAGCATAAGCCCATTTAATGGGTGTTTGGAAGACAATCAAGGAGAATAGAAATGGTTAGAGTTACTTTTTTAAGAGAAGAATAAATTCGAGTGGGAGGGCGGAAATTGTGTGTATAAAAACTAGTTAGAAAGTTCTTGAGGTGGCGCACCTACATGGCTCAGTCAGTAAAGCGTCCGACTCTTTATTTCACCTCAGATCATGATCTCAGGGTTGTGAAATTGAGCCCTGAGTTGGCCTCTGTGCTGGCATGGAGCCTGCTTAAGATCCTGTCTCCTCCCTCTGCCCCCACCTCTAAAGAAAAAAAAGGAAGAAAGTTCTTGAGGTAGCCCAGGTGAGAAATGATGCTGGCTTGGACAGGGTGAGGGTAGAAGGGGGATATAGATATATTTGAAAACTATTTAGCTGGTGGACACTGTAGGTCTTATTGATTTATTAGACTAGGGTAAGACAGAGTGGGCGAGGAAGCAATCAGGAATGGGATCTCAGATTCGAATTCGGTCAGATGATAACAGGAGGACAGACAAGTTTGAGTAAAAAGTAGTAAGTCTATTTTACACATATTTAATTCAAGATGATTGGTGGCTTTTTTTCTTTTTCTTTCTTTTTTAATAGGAGAATCATCTACAGCTTTTTATTTATTTTTTAAGAGACTTTATTTATTTATTTGTCAGAGAGAGACCGCATGAGCGGAAGCAGGGGGAGTGGCAGGCAGGTGGGAGAAGCAGGCTTCCCACTGAGCAGGGAGCCTGATGTGGAACTTGATCCCAGGACCCTGGGATCGTGACCTGAACTGAAGGCAGGCACTTAGCAGACTGAGCCACCCAGGTGCCCCTTACGACTTTTTATTTTTTAAGTTGATTTATTTTATTTATTTATTTATTTTAGTTATCTCTCTACCCAACATCATACTTACAACCCCCAGATCAAGAGTCACACACTTTTCTGACTGAGCCAGCCAGGTGCCCAGTCACTGGTTTTTTCGAGTCAACATTTCCCAGTTTTCTAAACTTTATTATTGAAAAGCCATTATATATATATGTGTGCTAATTGACCATTGCTTTTGTGGTACCTCTGCACTCTGTATAGACCCTATAATGCCTTAAATCTACTGGATTCTAACTCCACAAGGACAGGGGTCACTTCTTACAACCTGGGAGCCCAAAATAGTACCTGGCACATAGTATTTAGTAAATATTTGAATGAATGCCACTTTATTTTGCTTCCATATTTACATGTCAATAACCTTGAAGGTTCTTTTCTTTTTTTTTTTTTTTTTAAGATTTTATTTACTTATTGACAGGAAGAGAGAGAGAGAGCGCGTGCACAAGCAGGCAGAGGGAGAGGAAAAGCAGGCTCCCCACAGCAGGGACAGCTTGATGTGGGACTCGATACCAAGACCCCGGGATCATGACCTGAGCCAAAGGCAGTCGCTTAACCAACTGAGCCACCCAGGCGCCCGAAGGTTATTTTCTTAAAAGAGTAGCGTGGTGTCATGGTAGTCTTTGCATTTCTAGTGCCTGGTGTAGAGCCTGACTCACAGTGAGGGCTCAGTGAATGTTAGCTGCTGTTTCTGCTGTTCTCCTTCTTCCCCTCTTCTTCATTATCATCATCTACCGTTTAAGTACATTTTTATTTTTGTTAATTTTTGTCCTTGGTGTCAAATAATGATAAGTTAGAGTTTTGTTTTCTGGTAGGGAGGGGAGTCCTGTTTTAGATGTTTACATATAACTTCTTATTCTAAAGGCCAAAACTTTGAGTGTAAATGCTGACTGATGTAGACATTATTTACTGTGCTTAATTTCAGATACATCTATATAATGGGAATACAAGAAAGAAATGAGAAGTTGTTTTATAGAATTCTGCAAGATGATATTGAAAGTCTGATGCCAATTGTATACACACCAACAGTGGGTCTTGCCTGCTCCCAATATGGACACATCTTTAGGAGACCTAAGTAAGGCTTATTTTTAAAGACATAAATTTGTAAATGATTATCGTATGGGAAGAATGGCACTCCCTAACAGCTCTTACATTTCTCTTTTATATATTGCCATCTTATGTCAGTCACCGTTCCCTCCTCACCAAAGCTTAATTTGGAGAAGAAGGGGTTAATAAAAACCCAGCATGTTCATATCTTTTTGTAGTAGAAATGGGAACATTCATTCCTAACCTGCAAGTTATTATGATTAGTAGAAGAACTGTGCATTTCTGTACAAAAAAGGGGGGGTTACTCTTGATTTTGGTGGCAGGTTTTCCAGAATTATCATTAATAACAGTTTGACAATCTGCCCAAATTAAAAGATTCTCATTTTTTTGTTGGCTTTAATTTCTGTTGTTTGTTCTTTTTTATGAGCTTCTCTAAATTTTAATATCAAATAGTTCTAGCGCCTCAAATATTTTAAATAGAAAGAGTAGGGGGATGGGCATCTACTTAAGTCTTTCCATAAGTCACTTTCTCCCTCTAAATCTGTTTTCTCGTAAAATAGGGATGCTAGTGCCTGTTAAAGAGCAGCAGAGAAGGTCAGATGAAGAACTGATGGGAACAGTTCTTTGTAAACTTGCGATTAATTTGTGTTTTCTTGTCGTGTTCCTCTAACCTGTTAGCATTTGCAGCAGTCCTCACCCCTTTCCCATGTCCTGCTTATGTATCGATGCACATGGTGGAGACATTCAGGCAATGCATGATAGCATCGATCTTCAGTCTCCCCTCATCTAGCCTCGTGGCTTTCTGATGTTAATGTGTGTACAAAACACCCGTGGGACTTAAAATGCTGATCCGAGCCAACCTTCCTGTCCTTCCCATTCCTAAGATTCTAATGAAAAAGAGAAAGATGTGGCGGGTCCGGGTTTTAATGAATGCGATTGCACGTGCTCCCTGGAAGACACTTTGAAAACAGTCTCTGTCCTACGTGCTGCCATCAGTTAATGTGTGTTAAACATTCTTTAAGTTAACCCGGCTGTTTAGTTCATTTATAGTTTATTTTTCATTCAGAATAGTGGTTCTCAATCCAGATTAAAGAACAAGGAGAAACTTAATGTATTTATGCTTGGGCCCCACCTATACAAGTTCTGATTCAGTCAGTCTGGAGCTGGGGCCCGTGTAGGTGTTCCAGAAAAGTTCCTATGTCTTTCTCATGTGTACCCTGCTCTCAGAACCGACATGAAGCAAAAAGAGCAGGGCTTTGAGGCGACAGAGATACTGTGTTTTTTGCATAGAAGATGGTCAGTAAATCTTGATCTCAACTCCAGGTCAGTTTAATCAGAATCTCTGGGGCTGGGACCCCTGGCATTTTTTTTTTTAAAGCCCATCAGATGATTCTATTATGCAGCTACAGCTGAAGAACGGTTTAAACTGATTTGAGTTAGGATAGCAGTGCCAAAGCTGAGACGCTAGTGAGAAAGTCAAGTGTAAGAGCCAGTTTGAAGGCACTGGGGGACTGTTGGCCTTCATCCCTACCTAACCCTGTGTTTCTACACACATGTCTACAACCTGTGTTTCTCCCCCACCCCGTCCCCTTCTTCCTTCCTCTCTTCCTTTTTAAAAATCGAGATTTATCTCAGTTGGATAACAATATGCAGTGTGTTTAAAATAACTTTTCACTTTTTCCTAATGCTTCAGAGACATCCTCTTTTGTGTGAAGTTACTGTACTTTTTCTTCTTTCCCTTCCTGCTCCTTCAAATTTCACATTTTCAGTTTTAGTGAATTTTAATAGTAGTTTTTATAGCTTTATTATGCTGTCCTGCATTGGTGGTTTATTTTTACACTGCTTTTTACCACAGGTGTATCGAGTTTCTTCTTGGGTAAAACAGTCCTGTCATTTAATAATGATCTTTGTTGCAGCTACTGTGTGCGCAAGGCAGATACAGTTTGGAGTAGTTGAAAATGTTTGAAAATAATCCAGTATGAGTTAGCTAAATCTGTTTGGAAATGATACTGTGTCTTGATGTTTTATTAAAATACCTACATATTCCAGTTATGAACAAAACTTAGGAGAAAACAAAAAACTGTTGTGAAATGCAAAGGTGTTTTTGTTTTGTTGCAGGGGATTATTTATTTCAATCTCAGACAGAGGTCATGTTAGATCAATTGTGGATAACTGGCCAGAAAATCATGTTAAGGTACTACCAATAGCACAACCTTCCTCTTCATAATCTTTTTTTCCTTCTTTGTAAGATGCCTCTGAATTTCCAAGAATAGTTTCCATTGTTGCTCTGATTTATTTTGCACTCGCATACATGCAGATTTAGTGCTCTGAGGAGATCTTGACAGTAATAATTGCAAAATGGGTCACCCGTACAGAGCTTGACTCTGGGGACGAAATGGGAGTTAGTTCAGAAGGTGAACCTGTCACTGTTGATACCATGGTATTTCTTGCCTTCTCTGTATTCCTTTTCAATATTATTCTAGGTAGAGAAAACACATTAAAATGCCATAAAAGCTTTCATTTTTGTGGGTGGTGAGAGGATTTATGACACTTCTTTCTTCTAAATCTCAGATGGATTTAGATCCTTAAGCAAATATAAAACTCTGTAGAGTTTCAAATTTAATAAATATAAATCTTGGTCCACGTGGCTGTCTTTCATAAAATAAAATCCAGTGATTTACTTAAGATCTTTTGGCAGGCTTTAGAGCTTGTTATAGGCAGTAATCTTACTTGCCTTTATAACATGTCTTCCTCACCAAAATAATCTTCGATGAATAATCATGAGCTCTAATAATCTAGAAAAAATTTGGCCAGATAATTAAACTGTTAGTATGATATTTAAACCTTGTAGATAGGTATATTTTTTATTTTAGATCTTCTTCCCCCCACTGTTGTTAAGGTGTTTCTTGTTTGGCCTAGGTTATTATGTGGGAATAGCATATCGTTCCATTCTAACCTTGTTTTTCTCTTCTGGTGACTCTCTATCAGAAGTTTGCCTGCCTCTCCCCAGTTTAGTTTTTGTGAAGATACATAACTGAGCCTCCAGTCAGAAACATTCTGTTTCTAAACCAAAGACAAAGGGAAATCAGATCTAGTTCATCTTTGTTTCACACCTAGATTCTAGAAATCCTAGAATTTTAAATATGCTTGGTTGGTTTACTTTGGAAGTTAGTCAAGAAGTAATTTTATTTTTAAAAGTGAGAGTGAAAATACACAAAGAGAATCTTTTTTCAAATGCTTTTTAGTACCCCACTTTTGACAACTTTTAATTTATATATTTTTTTGTAATTAAGGCTGTTGTGGTGACTGATGGAGAGAGAATTCTGGGTCTTGGAGATCTGGGTGTCTATGGAATGGGAATTCCAGTAGGAAAACTTTGTTTGTATACAGCGTGTGCAGGAATACGGCCTGATAGATGCCTGCCTGTGTGTATTGATGTAGGAACTGATAATCCAGTGAGTAAAACCATTTTCTGCCTTTGATCTTCTCCCATATATTTTTTTTAATTTTTAATTTTTTATAAACATATATTTTTATCCCCAGGGGTACAGGTCTGTGAATTGCCAGGTTTATGCACTTCACAGCACTCACCATAGCACATACCCTCCCCAATGTCCATAACCCCACCCCCGCCTCCCAACCCCCCTCCCCCCAGCAACCCTCAGTTTGTTTTGTGAGATTAAGAGTCACTTATGGTTTGTCTCCCTCCCAATCCCATCTTGTTTCATTAAATCTTCTCCTACCCCTTAACCCCCCATGTTGCATCTCCACTCCCTCATATTAGGGAGATCATATGGTAGTTGTCTTTCTCCGATTGACTTATTTCGCTAAGCATGATACCCTCTAGTTCCATCCACGTCGTTGCAAATGGCAAGATTTCATTTCTTTTGATGGCTGCATATTCCTCCCATATTTAAAAAACAAAAGCTTTACGACATTCTTCTCTCGAAGATAATATAAGATGGGAAAATTTCATAATTAAAGTTAGTCTTTTCTTAAACTGTGCTTTTAATATTTATACAAATAACAGTAAATTAAATCTATTAAGAGTTTCTTGAAAAAATATAGTAAGGTTTTAAAAGTTACCTTAGTAATTTTTTTTTGTTTTGCAGTTTTTGTTTTATAGAATATGTTTAAGCTGGTTGTGTAACAAAATGATTTTATTTTTGCATTTGGTCTATGTTATAGGCACTCTTAAAAGATCCATTTTACATGGGCTTATATCAGAAAAGAGATCGATCACAACGTTATGATGACCTGATTGATGAGTTTATGAAAGCCATTACTGACAGGTATTTTTTTTTTAAGTTGGAGTAAATGAAAGCATCTTTAATTAATAAAAGAAAGGAACCACAGTTTTTTCTTGATCTCTGATAAAGATGCATAGAAGGAGATACATTTTTGAGAGCTTGGGTTCTGTCCTGATTGCTTAGGTGTGCTGATACTGGTGAGACCTTACTCATTCTGCCTCGCTCTCCTGAGTTGTCTGACCTCCTGCGGGAAGTCTGCACTCCCCGCTCCTGCCAGACCCTCACTGCTCAGCTCTCCCAGCCCTAGGCAGCCGGGTTCACGTCCACCCTTCCTGGGACTCTTGGGCAGCTTTCGTGTTTCAGATTCACTGACCATGGATCCTCCTCTCTCTCTACTTCTGCAGCATCTGATCAGAATAAAGGCCCCATTCCCTACTTTTGCATTCAAGAGTCTCCCTTATCTGGCCTCAACCTCCCATAGCCAACTTCTCCTTATCTTCTCACATAAACCCTGACATATATAGCCTGACTGTTGAAAATTCAGGGTCACCAAAATACACCTTGTTTTTCTTCCTATCTCTTTACTTTTTTCTTTGAGGGTCCAAATAAAGTCTTACCTCCTTTTCAAGCCTTCCCTTACCTCAGCTCAACAGGGTGATTGGGGTCTTTTTTTGAATGCCAGTGAACTCTTACAAAAATTACTTTTTAACCTCTTATTTAATATATACTTTCCTGTGTTGCTGTTTAACTGCTAATATGGTGAGAATACACATATCAAATATATACTTTATGAGACTCAGATAAAAATCTCTTTCTTTTTAGGAAGTTACTTCATGCTTATATGTGCCGGGCAACCTTGTAGGCCCTTGGAAATAGTTTATACTGATTAATATCACATAGATTCACCCCACAAATTTTTCTGAATGAGTAATAGATTTCTGCATTTCAACTCCAGTTTTCAGAGGCTCTGAAAATTGCCAGGTGGCCTTAAATGGACATTATTTCAAAATGGAATCATAAGGAATATTAGACAGGAAAGCTTTTTAATAACGATATTTTCAATACCACCGTTATGGATTTTGCTGTTTTAGATATGGACAGAACACACTTATTCAGTTTGAAGACTTTGGAAATCATAATGCATTCAGGTTCTTGAGAAAATATCGAGAAAAATATTGTACCTTCAATGATGATATTCAAGGTAAAGCAAAAAGAAAACCTTAGGTTTTTGATCCCTACCTTCTTTAAACCTTTTTAATCTGCCCTTTTGTTATCTTAAAAAATCTTTATTTGCCGGGGGGGGGGGGGGGTGGGGCGGCGCCTGGGAGGCATAGTCGATTGAGGGTCTGACTCTTGACCTTGACTCCAGGTCATGGTCTCCCGGTTGTGAGATGGAGCCCCACCTGGGCTCTGCACTCGGTGGGAAGTCTTCTGGAGATTCTTTCCCTCAGCCTCCCCACCACCCTACACCCTGTTCGCGAGCGCTCTCTCTCCTCAAAATAAATAAATCATTTACAGAACATCCTTATTCATCTTACAGGGACAGCTGCAGTAGCCCTAGCTGGTCTTCTCGCCGCACAGAAAGTTATAGGTAAACCACTCTCAGATCACAGAGTCCTATTCCTTGGAGCAGGAGAGGTACGTTTTTGTGCACTTTGAGCATTTAAAACTAAAACTCTCCTTTAGAATTGGAAAAATGGGACATAATGAGCTTCTCATTTTGTTGTGATCTTGTATGAATGGAAGATCTCTGTTGTAAAGTAGGTAATTTAACATATGTTTAGAAATACTATGTTTAGAGAGAATATCACAAAGAATCACCTTTTGCGGGGTGCCCAGGTGGCTCAGTCATTAAGCGTCTGCCTTTGGCTCAGGTCATGATCCCAGGGTCCTGGGATCCCTGCATCGGGCTCCCTGCTCGGCAGGAGGCCTTCTTCTCCCTCTCCCACTCCCTCTGCTTGTGTTCCCTCTCTTGCTGTGTCTTTCTCTGTCAAATAAATAAGTAAAATCTCAAAAAAAAAAAAAAAAGAATTTTTACGTGATTTGTTAGAGAATAAACCAAATATTCCTCATAATGCATAATCCTCATATATAAAGTAATTCAAGCATTGTATTATACCCTGGTCTTTATTTTTTAAATTTATGTTTCGTTGGACAGGCTGCTCTTGGAATTGCAAATCTCATAGTTATGGCTATGGTTGAAAATGGCCTTTCAGAAGAAGAGGCGCAAAAGAAAATTTGGATGTTTGACAAGTTTGGTTTGTTATTTAAGGTAAGGTATTTAAATCTTGGAGAAGCAAAAGAATGTTGTTAAAATGATACTTTTAGTTTGACTTTTAAAAAATATTATCAATTCCTAAAATACTATATCGCACTGGACTATCCAGATTGTACCCATTGGGGGACCTTCCAGTATATTCTCAACAGAAATCCTCCAGACTCCCTTCTGTCTTTTATAAAGACTCTTGCTTCACATTCAAGTCATAATCTCCATGTTGGCACCAGACATATTCTTTCTTGCTTTGTTCTCTGATTCTTAAGAAATCAAGTAACATTACAAATACGGTTGTACTTGGCCTTTCTAAAACTAGGTTTTTAATTGGAACTCAGAAGTTCCTAATTAAATTCTTAGCAGGACATCTGACATTTGAGCAGAAATTCCTTAGCCATTTAGAGATCATAGTCCATTGTAGCAGTCTGAGAGCAATCCATGGATCCTTTCCTGAGGCCAGTTCATGGATAAGGAAGAGCTTCCAACCCAGATTAATTTAGTATCCTTTGTACCTGCCTGCTTTCCTAGCACTGATTGCCATTTTTAGTAGCTTATGAAATGCCTTATATCTTACACTGTGTAACACATTAGGTAAACCGTTTCACAGTTGAACCTACAGTACACAGTGCTGTTGTATTTTTGCTCTATATAATGACATACAGCAATTACTTGAAACATACCTCTTCAGAGCAAGCTTATTTCAACGTACTTTGTTTCAGTTCTGAAATCTTTTCTTCTTAACTAGTACTCACAACTGTTGACACGGAAAATAAAATGAAAAAGTGTTTGAATGAAAAATCTTGAGCGCTTAAATTATACATAATTTAAAATAGTAGTTTAAAATGTACCAGACCTTATGATAAGATTCTGCAGATATTATCTCGTTCAATCTTCTGTGAAGTTTTACAAATAAGGAAACCTAGGATTTAAAAGGGTAGGTGACTTTCCAAGGTCATTAGCGTAAGTAGTGGATGTGAGAGTCACATCCAAGCAGACTATGAAGCTTGTGCTCTTGACCATGAAGCTGTGCTGCCTTCCAGGTGAGCTGTCACCACTGTATTTGCTTGTATCTAAGATACAAGGATTAGAAACTTTGAACTTTTAGAAGGCCATTGGCAGCATACATATTTTTACTGGTACACAGTTTGGTGCTTCTTTTTGTGGTGTTGGTTTTCACAAATGTTTTGCGTTTCTTTTTTATATTTGTAGCAAGTTAAGTCTAGAATGAATATGCTGTTGGTTAGCGTAAATGTGAATCCCGGAATATCTGCAAGTTCGGGGAATATTTTTCTTTTAGGGTGTGTGAATAGCTTGACTTACGGGTTTTAGGCGTCTGGACTCCCCTGCTGACCCAAACACTGCCCTCCTTTTTGAGACTCTGAGAGTTTCCTGTTAAACCTACATATTGGAGAGCTGTGGTCCTCCAGGGGGCAAGTATAAGAAGCCACTGTTCTGAGAACCTGAATCTGTTGAGGCTGTATGTCAGTCCTTTAGTTAACTTCCCATCTAACTGATTATGGCGTGCTGCTTTTCCCAGACCCTGCTAGTTCTTATCTGGGGGTATTCTGGCATTCTGATAGAAAAATTCACCTCTGCAGTGGGTTCTCCTCTTTTGCTAAAATAAGGGTACGGATTTCTCAGCCTGGTTGGATTTTGCATTTGATATATTTTTGACTGCTTTAAATTGTTGAAAAATTCTCCATTGTTCTAGTTTGTCAGTGGTATGTCTTCTGGCCTTATAACACCACTAAGGATTTAATTTTTATAGTTTTTGGCTTGGGATTTAGGGAGGAAAGCATGTTTCTCCACTCAGCCATCTTGGGCCAGAATTCTCTGTTCCTCTTGTTTCAGAACTCTTGCTAGTACAAGTCCATGATGTCTATCTGCAATTCTAAAATCCTAAAAGCTCTGAAATCCCAAAGTTTTTTTGAAACTGGTAACAAATCTGATTGACTTGGACTTATCTGGTAGCAAAACCAGAGAGGAATTTGTAGTCTTGACCTTTTGTACTTAGTGTACTAAATTTTCTTCAGTTTGGGGTGCCCATGTTGGGGAATTTTAATATTTGATATATTACAATAATACATTTCTAAAATATGAAAATATTTTACATCTAGCCTAGATAAGGGATTGTAAGCCTTTGTGCCATATTGGATTTAGAAGCACTTCGCAAAGTAAATGAGTTTTTGACAGGGACTAGAAAGTTTCTGGTTAAGGTGGGATTTGTGTTTTATATCTGGGTTTTGTGGACACTGGAAGATAGCGGCTGAAGAGGAAAGTAAATGAGAATGAAAAGGCATTCCTATTGTAGAAAGAATATATGACTCATAATGATGTCTTTTCCTTAATCCTCAGTAAGCATTTACTAAAAAATACTGTATTTTTCCCAAAAATTCAGGGGCGAAAAGCTAAAATAGATAGTCATCAGGAACCATTTGCTCACTCAGCCCCAGGGAATATACCTGATACTTTTGAAGAAGCAGTAAATATTCTCAGGCCTTCAGCTATAATTGGTAAGTAGAATTGTTGACATGTCATCATATCACTTAACAATATGTTGCTGGTCATCAGTACCATGCAGGAGTACTAAAAATGAAATGACCAATTTTATCTAACTTTCAGCATATAATGTGTTTTTCTGAGATAGCCTTTATGTGTAAAGTTCAGTTAACAGATGTTGCCTGTGATTTTAAGTGTGGGAAACTGTACAATTTATCATGCTTTGCTTTTAGACTTGGTGTGACTGCTGTGCTCAAAACCTGAAAAAGACCAAGGTCATAGGATAGACTAAACCAAGAAGTCCTATGCAGGCTCAAATCTTTGCACTGGCAGCAAAGCAGAAAGCATTGTTATGTTTTGAGAGTAAGGCATTGCATAGCTGACTTCAGAGTATGCCAAAATGGTATTGGGTTCACCCCAGAAAATGTAAAAGTCTGTATTTTGTTTTTTATTTTTTATTTTTTTATTAACATATAATGTATTATTTGTTTCATGGGTACAGGTCTGTGATTCATTAGTCTTATATAATTCACAACACTCACCATAGCACATACCCTCCCCAAAGTCCATCAGAAAGTCTTTATTTTTTTTTAAAGATTTTATTTATTTATTTTAGAGACAGGGAGAGGATGCGAGCAGGGTGTAGGGTGGGTAGGAGGGGTGGGAAGAGCAGAAGGACAAGCAGACTCTGTGCCTAGGGCAGAGCCCGACACAGCGCTCAATCCCAGGACCCTGAGATCATGACCTGAGCTGAAACCAAGAGTCAGATGCTTAACCAACCGAGCCACCCAGGTGCCCCAGAAAATGTACAAGTCTTTAAAAGAGGAGCTATTTCATTTCCTATATAGCTGTGAGATTTGAATCCATAAGTTTTTAATAGTTTTATCACTTTCTTGTAGAACCCCTATTGAATGTTAAATAGAAAACAGTCACAAACAGTAAGTTTCTGTGGTCGTTAGCTTCTTCATTAATTAGAACACACAATTTCTTAGGGCAAGAGGACATCTTAAAGATCACCCAATTTCTCTCAAAATTCAATATGAAAACCTAAGAATCTGTCCACCGATTTTCTCTGGAGGGTCAAGGAAACAAAAATTGAAAAAGTTTAATTCCTTTAGAACTCATATAGACTCCTAAAAATATGTCCATACACTTCCCTATAGAGAAACACTGAATATAAATTCCTTTTTTACATAAGAAAAACAAGCACAGAGATGTTAAACAACTTGCCCAAGATTTGTGAGTATTTCATATAGCCAGGAGTGACAGAGAACACTAGAACTCTAGTCTCCAGATCAGTATTCTTTGTTACATATAAGTTTTTAAAGTAGAATTGAAAATTAACTATTTTGATTGTTAAATATAAGTCATCTTACTAGATGAACTGGAAAAGGACTCAGCTGAGGTTTTGCTTGGTCATCCCCAGATTCCCGTCACAGGCTGAGTGCTCTTCATGCTTCTGTAACACTGCATACCTGGCACCTGTTACAGGTTTTCTCATTTTCTGCCTACTTTGTTTTTCTCTCCCCTGTAAGTTGCATTGTGTTCATGTTTATATCCCAGTAGCCTAATGCAGTGTCTGAGACATTGTAAGGACTAAAGAAAAGGTCACTAAATTGTGTCAAGAAAGTAGATTGCTTTAGTCACGATGATTTTTTATCCCTTTTGAATCCCTATTATTTGTTTAATTAAAACCGAGTTTAACAATTTAACATTTGAAATGCAAGTTTTTAACTTTTTAAAATTCATTTTTAATTGTGGTAAAATACACATAACGTAAAATGTGCCATCATAACCACTTTTTAAATTTAAATTCAACATATAGCCAACATATAGTAAGTACATCATTAGTTTCAGATGTAGAGTTCAGTAATTCATGAATTGTATATATCATAACCCTTTTTAAGTGTATGATTAGGTAGCGTTAAGTGCATTCACATTATTGTGCAGCTGGTTTCCAAAACTCATTTTGCAAAACTGAAACTCCATACCAATTAAACAAATACTTTCCCTAGCCCCTTGTTGCCACCTTTCTACTTTTTGTGTTTATGAATTTGACTACTCTGGGTATATCATGTAAGTGGAATGACATAGTATTTGTCCTTTTGTGACTGGCTTATTTTACCTAGCATAATATCCTTAAGGTTCATTCATGTTGCAGCAAGTTTTATCTCAATTAGACAGAGATGGAGATAGTCATACTCTTTTTTTTTTTAAATTTCCTAGAATTTACTATGTTTGGGGTAAACAATAAATATTTTAGTAAAAACTTTCAGCACTTTATTGTTTTCAGATTCGAGATTGTGTTCCTATGGCATTATCTCAGCAATACAAAATACGTGTTTTGTTGTATTAAACGTATTGCAGAAATGCTGTTGATAAGAATTGTTTTATGTTACATGTAAGGAAGTTGCTTTTCCCCCCCTTATGTATTATAGGAGTTGCAGGAGCTGGCCGACTTTTCACTCCTAGTGTAATCAAAGCCATGGCTGAAATCAATGAAAGGCCTGTAATATTTGCATTAAGCAATCCTACAGCAATGGCTGAGTGCACGGCTGAAGAAGCATATACACTTACAGAGGTACTACTAATAATTGTCTGAATTGGTTATGTCCATTATTCTCCTTCCATTGGCCTTCGTTATACATTCTTGCATAATTCTTTTCATGGTTAACTGTAGAGATTACAGTATGCATCCTTGGATCATCAAGTTCTGATATAAACTATTGTGTGTATGAATTCTGGAACATAATTACCATACATCTCCATTCTAACACCTTTCTGTCTTGGGGGCTGTTGTTGTACATTTTAAATCCCAAAAGACAGTCTTGTTCTAAACACAAAATAATTGATTTTGATACATTTCGATACATTTTAATATCTTCTCTTGCCATTCTGTCTGCCGTGTATGTCTGTCCTTTTTATCTTGGGTCATTTTCCTTCTACCAGAAGAACTTTCCTTGAGTGTGGGTCTGATGAATTTATTTTAATAATCTCTTTATTTTGCCTTCATTTTGAAGGATATTTTTTACTATGTATAGAAGTAAAAGTCCGTGGAGATAGTATTCTATTATTTCCTGACTTCTGTTTTCCTTTGGATACATCATTTTGTCTTGGGTTTTGCTATAATGGACATAGTTGAGTTTGTATTTATTCCAGCTGGGACTGTAGAACTCTGTATCTTGATGCCCTCTTTTGTGGCCTATGTTGGAAATATCTGGGTTGGCTGCATTCTCTGTCTGCTCTTGTGGGTCTCCGGTTGGAGAGTGTCAGACTTGTTCTCATATCTCAGGTATCTCTTACACAGCTTTTTGCATATTCCATCCTGTTGACATTCTGTGTGGTCTTTCTTTCTTTCTTTCTTTCTTTTTTTTTTTTTTTTTTAAGATTTTTATTTATTTATTAGTTTGAGATCGAGAGAGAGCAAAAGGAAGGACAGAGGGAAAGGGACAAGCAGACTCCGTGCTGAGCGCAGAGTCCAATGCAGGGCTTGATCCCACAACTCTAAGATCATGACCTGAGCTGAAATCAAGAGGTGGATGCTTAACCCACTGAGCCACACCAGCACCCCTGCATACTGTATTTTAATATTTTCTTTGGGTGTATCTTCCAGTTGCATGCACTCTTTTTAGCTATGCTAATCTATTGCTAGGCTCTTAATTTTATTGTATTTTTCATTTGTAGAATTTCAGTTTGACTGTTTTTCTAATTAGTGAAACAGACTTACAATGGCATATTATAGAAATAATGAATTCATAAATAAATTCTACTTCCTTGCCATCACATTTAATAAAACAATTCTTTTTACTCTTCAAACATAGCTTCACTGTTGGTATTTGTCTTCATGAAAGCCATTGTTTTCAGTCACCTGACAGCTGTCAGGAACAAGTTTTTACTTTCATCCAAATCATTTAAGGTTTAGTACTTCTGAATTCTTTGACACTGCCCCAGAACTATATCCCAGTTACAGTTGTCTGCTCATATACCATTAGGACAGTTAGGTTTTCCCCACTGTTCTGTAGGGATATATTTTTAATCTCCACAATGTAATCACGTTCTGTATTGTTCTTGTAAGTGGTCTTTAAGTGACCCCAGGAAGTAGTATTTAAAGGCTTGTTTATAGTGACACCCAACAGGAAATTATTAGGTCATATACTTCAGAATAGGTAACCAATCTGTGACGAATGCTTTTTTCTGCACTCTATTAAAAATGTCTTTTATTATAGAAAATTTCAAACATATACAGAGGTAGAATAGTCTAGTCAACTCCCATATGCCAGTACCAGCTGTGGAAATATCACCTCCTTCTCAATCTTGTTTCTTCTACGTCCTTCCCACCCTAAACCGATCTCAAGACATCGTATTGTTTCATTGTAAATCTCTCAAAAGTTAAGAGTTCTTTTAAAGATATAATCATGGGATCATTACCACACCTCACAATTTTTAACAGTATTTTTCACATACTTATTTTATCTTTCTACGTAGCTTATAGTTCTCTGCTAAAATAGTCTATCTTGTTATTTAATTTCTGAAATATATGGATCATGATGAAAGTTAATGTCTGATAGCAGGAAATACATTACTCTCTGTGAATCCATTTCTATCCTCTTTCTTTTTCTTGGTTATGCAGTCTTGTATTTTTGTAAGCCTCGTTTTATTTTTGTTTTTTGTTTCCTTCTTGAGTGCTAGATGGTGTGGGTAAACAATTGTAGCGGTAATTTGAGTCTCTGGAGGAGGGGGTCTTCCCTTTTCCTGTGGTGGGGGTTGGTCTGGAGCAGCTCACCTTAATCTAATCAGGATGCAGTCCATGGGGTGCCTGCTCTCTTTCCACAGTTTACCCTTTCTCCCAGCGTGTACCCCTTCGCACATGAATCACAAGTCTAGGACTATTTATTAGCAGCCATCACCCCCAGCAGGCCCTGAACTTCTCTCCCTCTGTCATCGTGAGGCTCCTGATAGCTTTGTTGCTCAGGTTCTCAGCCACAGATACCGCTTCTTTTGAAATCCGCAATCCTCACGTGGGGGAAAGCTTCAAGTGCTGGAATCACATGTATCTTGTTTTCCTCCTCTTCTGCATCTCCCACACCCAGGCTCTCATGATTTCGATAGCACTGCTGCTTGCTTGCTTGCTTGCTTGCTTGCTTTTTTTTAAAGATTTTATTTATTTATTTGACAGAGAGAGATCACAAGTAGGCGGAGAGGCAGGCAGAGACAGAGGAAGGGAAGCAGGCTCCCTGCTGAGCGGAGAGCCCGATTCAGGGCTCGATTCCAGGACTCCGGGATCATGACCCGAGCCGAGGGCAGAGGCTTAACCCAATGAGTCACCCAGGCACCCCACACTGCTGCTTTCTTAACAGATATTTTTAATGTATTTTATCCAGTTTCTCTCATTGTTATGGAAGACTGGGTGTGAAACTGCTTAGATCATTGCCAAAGCAGAACCTTCTCAGAACTTTCCAGACTTAGTATTCATGATCCTTAAGTCTTAAGCATTCTTTTTTTCTCATTGCCAAAGTATTTATTTTGATACATACATTCCCTCTAAATTTCTTTTGCTTCATATTGCCGATCAGTTTAGTTAAAATGAATTCTGACTACTGGTTTCCAGGTTATAGTAATCACTGAAACTTCTAATAGTTATTGAAATCTTTTTCTTTGAAATCATCCACAAAATCAGCTTCCAGATAGCAAAATAATAAATAAATGAAAATCAGTCTCTTTTAGTATACTGCCTTATCTTTTTACCAAAGTATGGTATCCTATTTACCGGTCTTTACTACTTAAAATTAATGGTTATTGCCCCCAAGATTAAGTCTTAGTCTGATACAATGACTGATAAATATACTCAATTTGTCAGTAGGTTTTGGCATTTTAGAAATATAAAATATGTAAATGTTTTAGGCAGTAGTAGCATATCACTGGAAGATGGCCCAAACATTTAAGAATTTTATTTTTTGAATAAATACTGTCATGAAAGCTGTGTATTACTAGAATGAATAAAAATAAAAATCCAACAAGGAGACTAGTTTGATATATTGTAGTCTATCAGTTCTAAGATGCAAATTTTTTCTCAATATTGTATTACCTCCTAAAAATGATAAAAAAGCATTGTGTCATAATTTAATTTTACATAAATTCCTTCTTAGTCTTACATAAAATAATGGCATAAATTACATATTTGCAGTCACCTCTTAAATTTTTAGTGTCCTTTTGTTTTCAGTAGAGAGAAGTCTTAGTGTTACTCTAACACCCTCTGCTGCTTAGTGAGAAAAATACTTTTTAATTCTTGAACTTCAGAATGAGAACACTTGGTTATCATTAAGATCCAGCCATATTTGATTGATCATGTAAGACAAAAAATATCCTGAAGAAGAACTGCTGTAGAATCTTGCCATTCTAGAGAAAATACCCAAGATCTTTCTAAGTCTAAAAATTTACTGATATCATGAGAATGTAGTATTTTTCCTATAAAGAGCTTATATCATATAAGCCATTTTATAAAGCTATTAAAATTAATGATATTACAAAAATAATTATATGCATTATCATTGTAATGTTATATGGCATTAACCATGAACTTCAAAGAAACACAATTAATCTTCAAAGAAACACAATTTCATCACAGTCTCTGTGCTTAGAACAGGTGGAGAATGATCGTAGCTCTCTGTAGAAAATGATACAGCCGCCTGACATTGTAGTATCAGGATAGTCACCTGGGGCCAACACTAGCATAGTTAGATAGCTTCTATACTTTGTGTCATTTTGAAACTGAAAGTATGTCTTATAAAAGTAAAAATTAATATACATTGTAGACCTTCAGGTGGTCCAAAGGGTCAGACTGTTGAGTGTAAAATCCACTAATGCCAAGGATTCACTATACTTCAGAGAATAATCAGCCTTGATAGAATACCCATTTTTAGATCTAGAGAAAAGAAGACAAAATATTATCTAAACACTTATTATTCTGTCCAATGTTCAGGTACCATGTGAGTTTGTCCATCCTTCTGTGTGGAGATAGTTCAGTTTTCTGTAAACCATCTCTTACTTAATCCAGGTACCTGTTCAAACATGACTGACTTTTGGCTCAGTCAGTTAAGCTTGATTTCAGTTTAGCTCATGATCTTGGGGTTGTGGGATTGAGCCCAGTGTCAGGCTCTGTATTTGGTGTGGAGTCCGCTTAGGGTTGGCTTTCCCTCTCCCTCTGCCCTTCCCCGCTGCTCTCTCTCTCTCTCTCTCAAATACATAAATCTGGGGCGCCGGGGTGGCTCAGTGGGTTAAAGCCTCTGCCTTTGGCTCAGGTCATGATCCCAGGGTCCTGGGATCGAACCCCACATTGGACTCTCTGCTCTGTGGGGAGCCTACTTCCTCCTTTCTCTCTGCCTGCCTGCCTCTCTGCCTACTTGTGATCTCTGTCTGTCCAATAAATAAATAAAATCTAAAAAAAAAATTGCTAAAATACATAAATCTTTTAAAAATAAATAAAAATTAAAAAAATAAAAGAAATAAACATGACTGACTTTAGTCATACCTCAAGCATTCCAAGATAGATTATCCTGTTTGAGAACTACTGTTTTCTTGCTCTTTGCGGTTTTTTGCCAAAGAGGAGTGGAACAGATGGGATTTGTGGTGGGGAAATGATATTTAAAGGATTTATGGAGGCACCTGGGTGGCTCAGTTGGTTAAGCGTCTGTCTTGGGCTCAGGGCTCAGGTCATGATCCCAGGGTCCTGGGATTGAGCCCTAGGTCCCTCCTCAGCCGGGAGCTGCCTCCTTCCTCTCACTCTGCTGCCTCCCGGGGTTATGCTCTCTCTTTCTCACTTTCTCTCTCTCTCTTTATCTCTCTCTCAAATAAAGTCTTTAAAGAAAATAAGAGATTCATAAATTTACTTTCAGGTACTTTTCAATTTCACAGGTATCTAATTCTCCTAGAAATGTTGAACATGGGGGCGCCTGGATAGCTTAGTCAGTTAGCATCTGCCTTTGGCTCAGGTCATGATCTCAAGGTCCTGGGATGAGCCCTGCGTGGGGCTCCCGGCTCAGCAGGGGAGTCTGCTTCTCCCTCTGCCCTCCCCTGCTCATGTGCACTCGCTTGCTCTCTCTCAAATAAATAAATAAAATCTAAAAAAAAAAAAAAGAGAGATAATGCATATGCTAGTAACATTATATTCCATTATTGAGCACAGTACTAAAATTGGTACTACAAATTTGGAGACTTATTTTTCTTTAATAAGGCAACATGCTGTATTTTTCTGGGGTAATACTGTGGTTATACCATACATCTGTTTTGTAAACTGTCCAACAGGAGCATTGTTAGCATAATAGAAAGACCATGGGCTTTGGAGTTACAAAAAAAAAAAAAAATCTGGATTCAAGTTTAACTACTACAATTGTAACGTGTGACTTTTTACAAAGTACTCGGTAATCTAAGCTCTAGTTTTTTTGAGATTTTTTTTTTTTTTATATCAGTGAGGTGGAGATGATGATAATCTCATAAGGCTTTTTATGCAGGCTAAACTGAGGGAACACATACAAAACACCTGGTACAGAGCCAAAATTAATAGATGTATGGTCAGTGATCACAGTTTAACTTTTGGTGTGTTCCCCTTCATTCACAGATGTTTATAGCAATCTTTATTATTCAGGATGGTATTTGTTGGCCCATCTACATTTTAAACTTTTTAAAGGAAGTAGAAGGGGCACCTGGGTGGGTCAGTGGGTTAAAGCCTCTGCTTTCAGCTCAGGTCATGATCCCAGAGTTCTGGGATTGAGCCCCACATCGAGCCCCACATTGGTCTCTCTGCTCCGCGGGGATCCTGCTTCCTCCTCTCTCTCTGCCTGCCTCTCTGCCTACTTGTGATCTCTGTCAAATAAATAAATAAAAATCTTAAAAAAAAATAAAATAAAGGAAGTAAAAGTGTGAGGTTTTTTAGTTTACTGATGGACAATTTTCAATATTATTTGAACGTGTGCTCTGCATAAAAACTCATTCTGATAAGAATTTTAATGAAAGATTATGTTATATAGTAAATTATGACTGTTTACAAGTAATACATTGGTCTATTTTAGTACAGGATTTAATTGTGTTTTGACTTACCTCAATGTTGGTCCACATTAAGTTACAAATTGAGGTTATTTCATTTCTTACCAGGGAAGGTGTTTGTTTGCCAGTGGCAGTCCATTTGAGCCAGTGAAACTCAGTGATGGGCAAGTCTTTACACCAGGCCAAGGCAACAATGTGTATATTTTCCCAGGTAAGTGCCACCATGATTTATATTAAAGAGTAATAGGTAATTAAATTAAAATACTTAACAAAATTACATAGAATTTAAGATTAAAATGAATAATAGTATTTATAGAATTTTGCTACGTATATATAGGGAAACTCAAGGAATTCAGCAAATCCAGCTTGCTTTATTTTCTCTGTAAATGTATTTATTCATCTTTTCCATTAAGCCTGTTCTTATTATAGAAATAATGTAGTACATGGTATATAAAAATGCAAAAGGAACAGAATGTTATAAAATTATTTAGTCTCTGCCTTCAGTACCTCTTTTTTCCCTAAGTTTTTATTTAAATTCCAGTTAGTAAAACAATTTCAAAAAATAAATTCCAGTTAGTTATACAGTGCAGTATTAGTTTCAGGTGTACAATATAGTGATTCAGCACTTCCATCCAACACCCAGTGCTCATCAGGACAAGTGCTCCTTAATCCCACCACCTGTTTAACCCACCCCCCCACCCCCACCCCTCCTCTGGGAACCATCAGTTTGTTCTCTATAGAAAGAGTCTGTTTCTTGTTTGCCTCTCTTTTTTCCTATTGCTCATTTGCTTTATTTCATAAATTCCACATATGAGTGAAATCAAATAATCTTTGTCTTTCTCTGACTGACTTATGTTGCTTAGGGTAATACTTTCTAGCTCCATCCATGTTGTTGTAACTGGCAAGGTTTCATTCCTTTTTTTTTTTTCTTAAGGGCTGAGTAATAGTACATTGTATATATATACCACATCTTCTTTTTATTTTTTTTTAAGATTTTATTTATTTATTTGACAGAGATAGTGAGAGAGAACACAAGCACGGGGGAGCTAGAGAGGGAGAAGCAGGCTCCCCACTGAGCAGGGAGCCCAATGCGGGGCTGAATCTCAGGGTACTGGGATCATGACCCAAGCTGAAGGCAGACACTTAACAATGGAGCCACCCAGGCGCCCCTGGCCCACACCTTCTTTATCCATTCACCAGTTGATAGGCAACCTACATAATGGGAGAAGATATTTGCAAATTACATACCTGATAAAGTGTTAGTATGCAAAATATATAAAGAACTTATAAAACTCAACACCCAAAACCCAAATAATCTAACTAAAATATCAGCAAAAGACATGCATAGACATTTTTCCAAAGAGGATATACAGATGGCCAATAGATACATGAAAAGATGCTCATCATCACTGGTCATCAGGGACAAACAAGTCAAAACTACAATGAGATAATCACCTCACACCCATCAGAATGGCTAAAATCAACAACACAAGAAACAGCAGGTGTCAGTGAGGAAGCAGAGAAAGGGGAACCATCTTGCACTGCTAGTGAGAATGCAAGCTGGTGCAGCCACCCTAGAGAACAGTATGGAGGGTCCTCAAAATGTTAAAAATAGAACTACCCTATGATATAGAATTGCACTGCTAGGTATTTACCCAAAGAATACAAAAATTCTAATGCAAAGGGATACTGCACCCCAATGTTTATAGCAGCATTATCTACAAGAGCCAAAGTGTGTAAGCAGCCCAAGTGTCTCCTTGGTACCTCCTTATTGTACTTCTCAGCTATAACCACTGTCAGTGGTTTGCTTTGAGTTTTTCTGATGGTTACCATCATGACTAATACCCTTATCTTCCCTTATCTTGATTCTAGCCATGGACTGTATGTATGAACTTCCCACTGTTAAATATAATAGTGTACACATACCTCCTAATACTTTGCTTCTACCTTTCAATTTGTGTTACTATTTTTGGTTTTCCTAGCAGTTACCTTTATTTTTATATAACGCATCTAAAAAACTTTTGATAGCAACTTACAATAGTTTTTATTAGTTTGCCACTGTTGAAAAATCGGGTGTTTAGCTGTATCTGTTCTTATTCCATCTCTCAATTTTGGTTAGTTAATGTTTCTACATTGTAGGGCTCCTGTGCGGCTCAGTCGGTTAAGCATCTGCCTTTGGCTCAGGTCATGATCCCAGGGTCCTGGGATTGAGCCCCACATTGGGTTCCCTGATCACTGGGGAGCCTGCTTCTCCCTCTCCAATTCCACCATGCTTGTGTTCCCTCTCCCTATCTCTGTCATAAATAAATAAAATCTTTAAAAAAAATTTCTACAATGTAGAGAGGGTTTTTGGACATGTAGGTTGTGCTCTGTTATTTTCTGTGCTTTGTAGCTTGATTCTGAAATTACATGACTATTTATGTCTAAACAGGGGTTGATTTGATAAATATAGTAGAATATGTAATTCTATATTACAAAATTTTTGAAATTCAAAGTAAAAGTCTTTCAAGTATCAAGTATCATGAATCAATCTTTCATTTCCTGCCAGCTTTCTTCATTTCTTCTGGATCCTGCTCCACAGGAAACTACTTTCTCTTTTTCTTTTTTTAAGATTTATTTATTTGAAAGGGAGAGTGTGCATGTGCATCAGGGGAGGGGCAGAGGGAGAGGATCCCAGGCAGACTCCCCTCTGAGCAGGGAGCCTGATGGGGGGGCTCAATCTTACAACCCTGAGATCGTGACCTGAGCTGAAACCAAGAATCAGATGCTCAACTGACTGAGCCCCCAGGCTCCCCGCACAGCAGACTTCTTCTTGTAACCTGTTTTGTTCTCCCTCTCATGCATGCTCTGTTTCTGTCTTGCTGTTATTCCTCTCTATCTTGATCTCGTTTATCAGGAGTACATCTTTTAACAAAGTGTTTTCGTTAAGCACGGATGAAAACTTCCTGAGTTTTTACATATCTTAAAAATGTCTTTATTTTGTCTTCTCACTTGATAGTTTGGTTGGGTAGAGGTTTGTAGATTGAAAGCCCATTCCCTCAGATCTTTGAAAATATTTCTCCACTTTTAGTGTTGCTGTGAGAAATCTGATGTCATTGAGATTCTCATTTCTTTATCCATACTAGCTTTTTCTCTCTAAAAATACTTAAAATTTTATCTTTATCTTTAGATTTCTGAGGGTTCCTGGGATGCATCCACATGTGGGCTTATTTCCATTTATGATGTATATCTGTGTGGGGGCCAGGTCACTATATATTCTTTTCCAAAGGATTTTTTTAACTTTGTTTTTTCTTTCTTATTTCCTTCCTTCCATCATTTGTTTTTCTCTTACGGAACTTATGTTAGATCAAATACTTCTGTTGTCCTTGACTTGTAATTTTTATTTTACATTTTGAACTCTGCCTTTTTAAATTCTGTAATGTGGGGGAGTTCTATTCATTTAACTCTTGATTTCAGGGCTGTGAATTCAAGCCGCATGTGTGAGTGTGGAGCCCACTTAAAATAAAACCTAAAACAACAAAAAAGTCTTTTTTTTTTTAATTATAAAAATTTTCAAACATACACAAAAGCAGAAAGAAGAATGAAGTCCCATGTTCCTGTCTCCCGCATTTCAGCAGTTACTAACATGTAACCATATTTTCCTACCCATTCCTTCCTCAGAGTTATTTTAAAGCAAATCAGAGAGATCATATAATTTTATTCTTAACTACTACAGTATATATCTCTTAAAAAGTAATTTTTTTTACTGTTGATCGAAATTTTTTTTAATTTTATTTTTTTCAGTGTTCCAAGATTCATTGTTTATACACCATACCCAGTGCTCCATGCAATACCTGCCCTCCTTAATACCCACCACCAGGCTTACCCATCCCTCAGCCCTTCCAAAACCCTAAGTTTGTTTCTGAGTCCACAGTCTCTCATGGTTCATAATTTCTTTTAATTAAATGTAATACTCATATCATACCACATAAAATGAACATTTGTTTGATATCACATATCATCAGTTCAGTAGGCTCAAATATTATTTTTTTTATTCCCAATACCTTTATCTTATCCTAAAATCACTCTTTTTTAATAGCCACTTTTATTTTTTTAAAGGTTGCAGGCTCTTTTTTAATTTCTTCTGAGAACTAAGATTCTTTTAAATATTTCTTCCTTTTTGCTGTTCATTTTCTATAAATTTCTGGTGATCCTTAATTGTTCATTCATTTTAATGAAAGACTGTGTTGGATTTGGCCTGAATTTCCTTTGTCTTCTTGTGGGCCTCTCCCTGAGGAGCTGATAGTAGGAGCTACGATTTCATGACAGGTAGATTTTTAGTGTACGTAGGCTAGCATCAAGCAAGCACATTTTAACTGTTGTCAAAGTAAAGAAGACTTCTAGCCTGTGAATACCCCAATGCTTTTGTGTGTGAATTTTCCTCCATTTCCTCCTATGTAGCTGTTTCGTGTCTAGAATTCTACCATGCTTGGCTCTTGAGACCTAGTGTCTGTAATAGAAACTCTCTCATCACCAATGATCTCTTTCTAGAACTTGATAATGTTCAGAATCCATCCATTCTATCCAGCAGTATTCCTGTGGCATAAAGGCATAAGAGTATGGAAAAGAATACTTTTCTGCTCATTTTAACAAAGTCATCTTCTGTATCTTATTTGACTAATAAGGAATTTGGCAATTGATTATTTTTATACAACACCACAAAATCCTAACTTTATTATTAACCATTACCAGCACTATAAATACAGATGTAAAAGTGACTTGGTAGTAGAGGTAAACATGGGCTTTAAAGCAGGAGACCAAAAGTCTGTTGATTAAAAAAAGGTAAGGCTCTGATAATGTTTGAATTACCTGGTCCAGCAGTTATAACTGGATGAAGTAACAACAAAACTAAAACCTTTACAGGGTCAAAAGGCTAATAAGATATTGACTAATAAAATACTCGGGAATTCTGGATCAAGAGTAGGGGGAGAACTTGAGCTTCAAAAACCAGTATGTGAAGGCCTTTCGCCATGAAGTGTTCTCTCATCAGCAAGAGGGGGCTGAGCTGTCCAACAACAGTGCTTTTGGTGGGGGGAGGGCAAGCGTCAGAGTCTGGCATCTGCCAAGAGTGGGATTCTGTTTGAACCTCTCGTGCTGTAGCCCTAAAGGCTGTACCGTCGAATATGGGTCTAGTTTGCACTGTCGCGTGGATGATCTAGAAAACCTCAAGCCTTTGTTCCGGCTTACCAGCACGCACAAGTGACTGGCAGAAGCAAACAGAAATCTTCTACGGAGCAAGATAAACACTATCCTTTTCTTCAGGTTACTTTCACAAATTTTGAAATACACCTCCAGTTAAAAAATTAAAGATAAAGACACATGTACAGAGACAAGACAGCAGAAGCCAAAAGTATCAGAAACAACAGGAAAACTGGAATTCTGGCTATCAAACAGGTGCTGTGAAACAAATATGCTTGTTGTGTTTATGGAGATAAAAGCCAAGCTTGAAAGATTTGGCCAAGTAACACTAAATTGTAGAATTGAAAAATAAAATAAATTTAAGAATTCAGTGAATGAGGCTTATGGCAGATTAGACTAAAGAGAATTAAACTGTAAAGTCAGAAGAAATGATCGAGAGACCAAAATAAAGAAAAATATAGAAAAACTGATATATACCTTTAATTGATATACTTTATTGTATGGTCCCAGAAGATGAACATGAGAATGAAGCAGAGGCAATATTTGTGTCTCGATGACTGAGAATGTCTTAGCACCTGATGAATGAAGTCAGTACACAATATTGACCGAAACCAGTGAAACCTGTGTGGGATAAATAAAAGGCCACATCTAGGAACATTGTTGTGAGGCTTCAGCAAACAATAACAAAGAGAAGACTATGAATGCAGCCAGAGCAAAAGGATTTCCTTGAAAGGAGCAACTATAATACTTTATCAGTTAAGCAGATTGAAACTGTTAAAGGGACATGCATTGTCTGGCAGGAGGGTACATTAGAGATTGCCATGAAGTTTTCATAGGGTACAGGTTATAAATTTTAGGATAATCACTAGAAGGCTAGAAGAACTTCCCAACTATGGTTAGAGACTGTTAAGGGAGGAAATGAAATGATTAAAAAAAAAAAAAAATTCGACAGTCAAGAATGAAGAGGAAAGGAAGGAACATGGAATAGACAAGACAAATATAAGAGGACAATAGATTTTGCTCCAATCATTTAAGCAACTATATTAACTATAGATGGAACAAATAAATGCTCTACTTTCTGAAATATATCTATTATCTAGAGGCTAGATTAAAATAAAGAATCTATTAACCATCTGTTTTTCTTCTCATCCTTGATTAATTGGATAACTGAGTGCCCCACTCTGACCAAAGACTATTGTGATACTCTTTGAATACTGTAAAACAGAATTTCTAGACAGGAAGACACCAGAGAGAGTTGAGGAAGGAGGTGTCAGAAAGTAGGGTGATTGAAAGCCAAGTCACCACAGTGATGCTCAGAGTGGGTAAGCCCCATCCTCGTCCTCATGGCTACCAATCATTCTTTTAGTTCCTAACCCTTACATATGAAAAACACTCAAATGTTACTCATCAACTAAGGAAATTTCTTATATAAACAATTTATTTCATGAGAGACTAAAATAGACAGGAAATAAAAAAGCTGTTTAGGAAGAAGCAGGGATTGATTAAGTGGGGAGAAGGAAAGTTTAAAAATTATCAGTAACCACATGGAGACGAAAATGTTCCAGAAACAGGAGAGAATTTTTTTTTTTAAATTAGAAAACAAAAATGAGCTCTTGAAAAGTTTGATAGCAGAAGGATTATTAAAAAAAAAAAAAAAAAAAAAAGCTGAGGAAATCACCTAAAAAACAAGCAGAGAACAAGGGATGGAAAACAAAAGAAGAAAATTAGAAGACTAGTCCAGAAAGTACAATATCAGAAAAAAGAACTGGAGAGAGAGAGAACAAGTAAGTGGAAGGAAGAATATTATCGAAGATTTCATGAACATTTCCCCAAACTGAAAGACCCAAGTTTCTAGATAGGAAGGGGCTCCCACTGAGCGCCATATGTGATATGTGAAAGTCATGCACCTCAAAGCCCATCACTGGGAAACTGCAGAACATTTGGGACGAGAAAGGTTCCTAATACTTCCAGAAATGCAGTAAAAAGATAATCACCAAAAAGGATCTGGAATCGAATTGGCACTGGTTTCTCACCAACAGTTCCGGCAGCTAAAAGGTATTGAAGTCATGACTCACAATTCTGAAGGGAAATTATTTCCAAACTAGAATTCTAAACCCAAACAATCAAAAATAAGTGGACAGTAGTTAAAAAAAAAAATGGGGGGGAGGGGCATCTTTGGAAAACTGCAGGAAAACATGTCTGACCAAAAAGAGGGAGTAACAAAAAACTAGGAAAAAGTGGGATTTAGGAAGTGAACTCAGAAAGAAAGAAAGGGAATCCCTATGAAGATAAGGGATTTTGCAGGATGACTGCTCCAGATCCGGGATGGAGAGCAGGATCTGGGCTGGAAAGCAGATGGTCACAGCAGCAGAGGATTCTTCTAGAGGATGAAGGAAGAGAGTACATGAGGTGACTGAGTTACTGGATGATTCAGGCAAACGAATGACTGTTTCAGTGTGAAATAATTTTAAGTACTGAAAAAGTAAAATAAGGAGAATAGGATAGTAACTTCAGGGAAAACCAAAAGTTTTGCAGAAGAGGAGAAATAATCACGACACGGTGTTAATAATGGCTCTGCTGGAAGTAACACTCATGAAGTCATAATAATATAAACGTTGACTGCTGATTGATTCAGCCAAAATGGTGCCCTAACCGGCAAAAGGGACAGGCTGGAAATGGGAAAGAAAGCCAAGTACTTAATTCCTACAGGAAGGAGTGGGTGATATTTAAAACTCAGAAGTCAATCAGGAGAAATACAAGCAAGCTGTTTGAGAGAAAGAAATATAAAAATAATCAGCTAAAAGAATTGAAAGTAGCTGCCTTTATAGGGCAAGAAGTGGCAGGGTTAGAGGTGGGCTGGGAATTGATGTTTTTTATAACAAGTGTTGATGAATTGTATGCATTGTTATTTTGCTAATTGTAAAAAACTAAATTGAGAAAAGCCATTTGATATTTCTCAAGTTATTCTAGGAGGTAAAAATTCTAACAGTTAACAAAGATCATTTGATTTTAACTCTTAGGTTTCTGTTTTCTCTTGGCTACTAATTTGGGGGGGGTGGCCGTCTGGGGCTAGCAGTCACCATTAACTTGCTTCAAGTTTGGAATTTGTTTGGTTCCTTTCATAATTTGAAAAGTGACCTTACTAAATAAACTATTTAAAATGTTTTGTAGGCGTGGCTTTAGCTGTTATTCTCTGTAACACCCGGCATATCAGTGATCATGTTTTCCTAGAAGCTGCAAAGGTAAATGTTTTAAATATTGTTTGGCTCTTTTATTAGGATGAATTATAAAGATGAATGGATCTTAATTAAAAGCAGAGAGAGAAAATGAGTTAAATCTGCCTTATGAATGGAAAGGAAGTTATTCATCTGTTGCTTTTTTGATTTGGCTCTCTACTTTTGCATGAGATTAATTTTATATCATGATTTTTCAAATGTTTGAATGTTAAGCTATGAATCCTTTCATATTTATAACACATACAATACCTGTTGTGTATCCGTATCTGAAGGTACTATATTGTGACGGCATAGATAAAATGTAACACCTTCATTTTTTAATGGACAAATACTGGTTTATTTGGAGTGTGCTGGCCTGTTAGAGTGCCAAACTGTAATAGGAGTTTTGAAGAACTCACATTAATACAGATTTTCATGCTTATTTTCATAGTAACTAATGTAATTATGCCACACTTTGTATGTGTTAAGTAGAATATGTCAATAAACCTTTCAATCTGGTTATTTCTTATTTAGTGGTGAACAGTTTTCATCTCTGCGGTGCATATTCCTGCTAAAAATAAGGAGAATTATCTTACCTATATTATTTTCTGCTCCCCAAACCCCTTTTCCATTTTATTAGGTCCTTATTCTGTGTTACCTAAACAAAAATAAAATGCTGTTTTTCTCTTCAGGCTCTGACAAATCAGCTGACAGATAAAGAGCTAGCTCAAGGGAGACTTTACCCACCACTTGCTGACATTCAGGAAGTTTCTATTAACATTGCTATTAAAGTAAGTATTAATGTATACCTCTTCACATAAATTTTAATGATGTTTTCTTTATTTTTAAGATTTTATTTATTTATTTGGCAGAGAGAGATCACAAGTAGGTAGAGAGGCAGGCAGAGAGAGAGGAAGGGAAGCAGGCTCCCTGCTGAGCAGAGAGCCTGACGTGGGGCTCGATCCCAGGACCCTGGGACCACGACCTGAGCTGAAGGCAGAAGCTTTAACCCACTGAGCCACCCAGGTGCCCCTTAATGATGTTTTCTTAAGTAGCACAAGTTTATTAGAGAAAAGTTTGAAACATTTCAAGGGTGCAAAGAAGAAATTTTAAATCACACATTTTCTTACTACCAGAATATAACCCATGTTATATTTTTTTAAAGATTTATTTATTTGAGAGAGAAAGAGAGCAGGGGGAGGGAGAGAATCTCAGGCAGCCTCCCCTGCTGAGCAGGGAGCCTGACGTAGGGCTAGATCCCAGGACTCTGAGATCATGACCTGAGTGAAAGGCAGAGGCTTAACCCACTGAGCCACCCAGGTGCCCCTGGGGACACCCATGTACCTTTGAAATTATTGTGGTATGGGGGTACCTGGCTGGCTCAGTCAGAGAGTGCAATTTGATCTGGGAGTTATGAGTTGGGTGTAAAGATTACTCAAAAGTAAAATCTTACATAATAATTATTGTGGTGTATATAATGTATATTATTTGATACTATGTTCCCCATTACAATGGTTTTTCACTATTTTCTTATCTGTTCAAACTGTGCATTGTTTTGGATGAATTTTTCTATCAATTTTTTGAATTCAAAGAAAACCCTGCATCTATGAATGAAACTATCAGACTTATAAATTAAATTAGTGAAAATGAGTCTTTGGTACTGGCTCTTCTCTCCCTATCAGTACCTCTTCCCACTCAGCTGTCTGTTTTTTTTCTTCAGTCTTTCAATATAATTTTTTTGTTTTCTTCTTTAGACATGGTATGTTACTTATACTTATTTTCCTAGATTTTAAAATTTTTTGTTCTTTTTAATAAGTAAAGATTTTTCTTTCCATATCCTCACTTGTCATTTCTGGCATATAGGGAAGGTATTAATTTTTATGAATTTACTTGATAACTAGTTTGTTGAGCAATCTTAACTCTTTAAATTAACTCTTTTTGAATTTTGAGTTTTGAATCATTTGCAAGTAATTTTTTTCTTCATTTTTTTATGTATTACTTTTTTTCCCCCTTAAGGCCAGTTTTAAGCAACTTAGTAGATAAGGGCATCCTTGTATCTTAATACTAAATGTGATACTAGCTTTTGGCTGAAATAAATACTCTTTTATCTTTTTAAAGAATTAATCTTCATCCCTAGTTTATTAAGATTTTTTTAGTAAACATCAGGATTAGATGTAGAGTATATGAGTAATATTTTCGGCTGTATACTGATAATTGTAAAATTTTTACTCCTCTGACTATAAATGCTATTGTTGGATTATTTTAACACTCATAAACTAAATAAAGATTAGAAATTAGAGGGTGATGTGTTTAAGAAATAACAGCGGGGCACCTGGGTGGCTCAGTGGGTTAAAGCCTCTACCTTTGGCTCAGGTCATGGTCCCAGGGTCCTGGAATCGAGCCCCGCATCGGGCTCCCTCAGCGGGGAGCCTGCTTCCTCCTCTCTCTCTCTCTGCCTGCCTCTCTGCCTACTTGTAATCTGTCTGTCAAACAAATAAATAAAATTTAAAAAAATAATAAGAAGAAATAACAGCCAGAGGTGCCTACATGGCTCAGTCATTTGAGCATCCAAGACTCTTAATTTCAGCTCAGGTCATGAGATCAAGCCCCACATCAGACTCCACACTTGGTGGGGAGTCTGCTTGAGATCTCTCCCTCTGTCCCTCCCCCCACACATGCACGCTCTCACGTGCTCTCTCTCTCTCACTCACATAAATAATCTTTAAAAATATTCTTAAAAAAAAAAAAATAAATAACAGCCAATCCAGGGGCACCTGCCTGGCTCAGTCAATGGAGGATGTGACAACTCTTCTTGGAGTTAGGAGTTCGAGCCCCATGATGAGTGTAGAGATTACTTTAGTTTTAAGTTTTGGCTTCAAAGTTGTTTTTTGTTTTTTTTTTTTAAGATTTTGTTTATTTATTTGACAGAGAGAGAAACCGTAAGAGCAGAAACATGAGCAGGGGGAGGGGGAGAGGGAAAGCAGGCTTCCTGCCGAGCAGGGAGCCTGATGTGGAGCTCGATTCCAGGACACTGGGAGCCGAAGACAGGCACTTAATGACCGAGCCACCCAGGTGCCCCAAAGTTGGTTTTTCAATTATGGGCTATACTCTAAGCTATTAAACGTAAATGGATTCCTCCTTGTGCATGGTTGGTGGGAATATAAATTAGTGCAGCCATTATGGAAAGCTGTATGGCTGTCCCTCAAAACCCAAAAATTAGAACTACCACATAATCCAGTAATCCCATTTCTGTGTATATATCCAAAAGAAATTAAATCATAATCTTGAAGAGCACTCCCATATTCACTGCAGCATTATTCACAATAGCCAAGACACAGAAACAAATTAAGTGTCCGTCAACACTCAATGTGGCATGTATACACAAATACATGTACACACACACACATGGATATTATGCAGCCTTAAAAAAGAAGGAAATCCTGCCACTTGTACAAAGATGAACGTGGAAGACTAAATGAAATAAATCAGTCAGAGAAAGACAAATACTGTCTGATCTCACTTATAACTGGAATCTAAAAAAGAAACTCAAAAAAACAGAGTAGAATGGGGTTGCCAGGGGCTAGAGGAAAAGGGGAAATGCTGATCAAAGGGTGCAAACTTTCTATAAGTTGTTTAAGTTCTAGAAATCTCAATGTACAGCATGGTTTAATGAAATTTGCTGAAAGAGTAGATCTTTTTTTTTTTTTAAAGATTTTTTATTTATTTGACAGACAGATCACAAGTAGGCAGAGAGGCAGACACAGAGAGAGAGAGGAGGAGGAGGCAGGCTCCCTGCTGAGCAGAGAGCCCGATGTGAGGCTCGATCCCAGGACCCTGGGATCATGACCTGAGCCGAAGGCAGAGGCTTTAACCACTGAGCCACCCAGGCGCCCCTGAAAGAGTAGATCTTAAATATTCTTGCCATACACACAAGAAGTAAGTATGTGCAGTGATGAAGAGGCCAGTTGGCTTGGTTGGGGGAATTATCTCACAGTGCACACATACATCAGAACATCTCATTGTATTCCATAAATACAGGATTATTTGTCAATCCTATCTCAGTAAAGTTGAAAAAAATTAAAAATAAATAAAATAACATCTTAAAAAATAAATAACAGCCAGTCCACTTGAGCTGGAATCTAAAGTATAGGTAGGAAAATGGCACAAGAGAGGATTTGCAAGTTTTCTTGAGGTCGGCTTATCTGGATCCACAAATGCCAGGCTAAGGAGTCTCAATACCTTACTGTTGCAAAGCAGCCGAAGATTTTAGAGCCCAGAACTAGGATGAACAGCGCTCGGTTTTGGAATTTATAGAATGATACTATATTTGGGACATATTTTGGAACATATCAGTCAGTTAGATTCCCAGTGTGTCAAGCTGAAAGGTCATATGAAAGAGAGACCTGGGGGTGCCTGGGTAGCTCAGTGAGGTAAGCCTCTGCCTTCAGCTCAGGTCATGATCCCAGGGTCCTGGGATCGAGCCCCACATTGGGCTCTCTGCTCAGCAGGGAGCCTGCTTCCTCCTCTCTCTTTCTCTCTCTGCCTGCCTCTCAGCCTACTTGTGATCTCTGTCCAACAAATGAATAAATAAAAAAATTTAAAAAAAAAGAGAGAGAGAGAGACCTGTGCTTATGGGCTGGTACAGGAGCATAGCCCCAGGTTGATGCTTCTTCTCCCTTCCCCAGGGTAGAGAATTTGCTCCTTCATTGTCTTAAGACTTGCCTTTTTAAGAGCAGGGGATCAGGAGACTAGCAGTGCTTTGTTTCTGTCCCTCACCCCATCCCGCAACCAGTGAGCATCTCCGGATCTCTCTTGCTTTGCCTCAGCCTTTTCTGTGGGTACAAATATGTTTCTTATAATAGGCTAGAAAATAATTGAAATACATGTTCATCACAAAATACACTAAGGTTGAGCCCCTGGAACGGAGTGTTATTTTTAATAACCTTCATTTCTTTGTTAAATTTTTTTCTTAGCTGAAATAAATTTGAATAGTGGTCACCGTTTAAATGGGAATTGGAGTAGGAGGAGAAAGACAAAACTGAAAATTTTTAATCATGTGTTACAATATTTTTTAAGTTAAAATGAAACCATAACTTGAGAATTTACTATATAATAAGCATTGTGCTATCCTGTGAGGAAGCTTTTCCTATTACCTCATTTCACATCAAATCTCAGAGAGGGTTTATCCTCATCACCAGTCATGGTGTGTGGCTTGGTTACAAATATCAGAAATCCATTCAAACCAAATGAGGTGGGAAGAAATCTGGCTTCACTGTGTAGGGCCTGGGATCTATAGTCTGAATGCTTTAGGTTTGAGACACAGCTCTCACTTAACTACCTTGGGCAAGTTACTTACTTGTAAGTTGTTACTTATTATTATTACTTACTTTCTCCTCATACTTTAGTGTCCTCATATGTAAAATGAGGATAATACTATCAGTACTTAACCTTATAGGATTGTTGTGAGGATTAAATGAGCTATACATGTAAAGCACATGCAACATGCCTGGCACTCCATAATGGTGGTGGTGAGTTGCCATGTGTAGGCCCCAGCCCTCACTTTACTTGACCTTATAGTTCTAGTGTCCAACACCTGGTTTATAATAATCTCTGTGTCTCTTAATCTGAATTCTAGAGCACAGACACCTGGCTCACATTAGGTTAGGTTTTCGCCCCAGTCCAGTCAGCTGTGGATAGGACGTAGACTCTCTTACCTGCTATCTGAGAGTGGGGGAAGGACAGGGGCTAGGCGGGTCACCCAAGTAGGGCTGCCTGACTGACACAAAACAGAGCTTAAAATTGTTAGCTTGAAGTATTAAGGAAATGCCAATAATGGGAGGGGGTGTAACTTTAAAACACATCAAACTTACATTGAGATGGCAGATTATTTTTATTTCATCTTTCAAGTTCTTAATAGCTTCCAAATGTTTTGAAATGAGTCAAAGTAATGTTATTTTTTTTTTTAATTTTGAAAAAAGAAAAACATCATACTTTCATTTCACTGTGTTTTAATAGTACTTTTTCTCTCCGGTTCCTATCAGAGTCTACACAGCAATCTTATTTATTTTGCAGGTCACAGAATACCTGTACGCGAACAAAATGGCCTTCCGATACCCAGAACCTGAAGACAAGGCCAAATACATTAGAGAAAGAATCTGGCGAAGTGAATACGATTCCCTGCTCCCGGATGTCTATGACTGGCCAGAATCCCCACTAAGCCCTCCCTTGATAACGGAAGAGAAGCAGACCCACTGAAAAATACTTTCCATGCTTCAGGGAACCCCCCTTATTTTATTTTATTCCAGAGAAAAAGAGATAATCTCAAATTTATGGGTTTTTCCCTGTGTTTTATTCTCCCCCACTGCTTTGCTTGACTTTTTTTTTTTTTCCATGAATCTGTACTTCCTTAGAGGATCAACATGTTGGCTGCATTGTGAATGCCCACCAGCGCCCTGCAATCAAATAACCATGATGCTTTTCTTGTGATTCGTAGCTCATAGCACATCAAAGAGATGTCACAGATGTATTTGTAAATGTCTTCACTTGTGCTGTTGTTCATGCTTGCCAAAGTATTTGCTATTTACTATTACAGTAATGATCTTCTCTTCCCAGCTCTTTTAGGGGTACTAAGAAATTTACTTCTGTGGATACGAGTATAGAATTTTAAGAAGCCAAATTTAACCAGATTACAAGGACAAACTGTCAGTGTCTAAAAGTTCTTTTATTTCAGCCTTATTTTATCTTCATGCTCTGAAATTCCTTTCCAGCTGATAAATCTAGAGAAATGTGAAAAATCTACCCTGTTATTTATTTTCGGGACCTAAATTGAGGCCCAACTATAACATCAGGAGAGAGAAATGGGAAGTACCACTGTCTTTAGAGAGATAAACAAAATAGTCATTGTTTTCAACAGTGTATAAAAATCATAGTGTAACTTTTTTATTTAATAAAGGTATTATCTTAAATTTAATTGCTTCAATTAATGTGATTTTATTGCCCAACTAGAAATTTAGGTTTGCTTATTATGAAAAACACCTATTTTCATTTTACTTATTTCTAGGTGATTTAAAGGAGGGGATATAATACATAAATTATAACTGACATCACGTGACTTTTAACCAATGAGTCCTGTTGCACATTTGAATGAAGCATATTTAACTGGAGATGCTATACCCCTTATTCCAATAGTAGTGCTCTTTATTGTTTGGTTAATTTTGGAATGTCTTTATTCCTTTGAATACCATTAGTGACAACTCTTCCCACTGAAGATGGATTAATTTTTTGAAACCACCAAAATTAATTTAGAACTAAGGGGGATGAATGAGGTAGGTGTACAGACCAGGAAATGCCATTTTTAATACCAGCAAAATGGGTAACAATTGACGAGTAAGACCAGTTTTCTTATGTGGCTTGTGGATTGGAAGGTTCTAAAGGAAAACGCAAAAGCCTTTGGAGAGTTAGTAGTACTACTTTTTATGTGCCTAACATAATTGTTTTGAAGGAACAAAAACTTATTTTAAGTGATCCTTCTAGAAGATCAACTACAAAAAGTTATTCTTAGCTACATGTAAGGGTGTACATTATTTGGTATTTCTCTCCACAGTCCTTGATATGTTAGATGTGATATTCTATAGGGGGAAAAGGGCATCATTTGTATGTTCATTTGTCCTATGTATAGGTAGAGATTGATTCATACTAATTTTGGATATAATTTAACATTTTAAGAATGCTTGAAATGGCACTGCCATTTGGAGTATTTTAAAATGCAGTTGATTAATCCATTTAACAGATGAGTAAAGTCAGAAGTCTGTTGTATAAACCTGTTGTATAATATAAGCAATTGGGTCACTATTTCTTTTAATTAAAAGTGAAAGTTTTATGTTTTTCATGTTACCTTTGTCAAAACAAAAATTGCCCCCAAAAATACTCTCTTGATTTTAGTTTAACATTACAAGTATAATAATTACAAATCCTGTTTTTTGCTTAGTGCTTACTGAAGGCAGGATCACATGCTGAATTAATGTAATTTTACTAAGATGTTTGCTTAGTAAATATGCCTAGTACAGTCTTCATGGAAATTCTATTTTAAAGAAAGAAACAAAGCCAACTGGCATATAGCCTGCTTATTTATATAACCCGTAATGTACTGGTTGGTAAATAACACATGAGAATAGGTGGTTTTAATGAGCACATATTTATCTGGAGAAATAAGATACATTTACACATACTATATGAGATATATAATAAATGTATTAGAATATATATATAATGTGTATTTATTAAAATCCACCTGCTCTCATGTGCTATTTACCAACCAGTATTTCACCAAACCAGAAACGACTGTTGGATGTAAATTGAAAAAAAAAAAAACAAATTAGGAATACAGGCAGGAGCTACCAGCATGGTGGGAAGAGGTTGGTGGCATGACGGTATCAGATTGGAAAAGAAACATTCAGATCCTCTATGGAAATCTTACCGAGCAAGAAGGTAATTATTTTTAAAGACAGGAACGGAGAGTCATTTTCATTCTTTTGAATAGGGAAGAAAATCTGTAGGTTTAGGCTTAGTAGGGAGAAGTGAGAACACATGTTCTAAACTGGCACCAGCACCCATGGTGTGAAAGAAACTGGGTGAATTGTGGGATAAGGTTTATTGACTTTAACATGGCAAACATGTTAAAGATTTTGGTTAAAATCTTTTTAAAGGATGGTTTCTTAACCAAGAAGTTGCTTCAGAATCCCCCTGAAGTTTCTTTAACCTGCATATGCCTCTGTCTCCTCCTTCCAGGCCCCCTGAACCACCAGGGGCAGAGCGCTGGAGCTGAATTTTCAGCAGGTTCCCAGGGGATTCTGACGCACACTTCCCCTGCCTCTCACTGGCTGCCCTAAAGTGGATATCCGAATCACCTGGAGAGCTGACTACTCCTCTGGAGGGCAGTGGGTCTGGGGTAGGGCCCGAGAGTCTGTATTTCTTACCCGCTCCTGGGTGATGCGCAGGTAGCTTGCACAGAGAAGGCATCAAGGACTGAACGTGGTGTGCAGTTTGTTTAGTGCTCATACAGTATGTACTTTAATATGAAAAAGATAACTGAAAGTATCTTCTTCCATGGAATTGGTTTCATCTGTCTTTGTTATGTCTGGTTTTTATGGGATGTTCATAGACACAAAAATACAGAGCTTTTAAACAGATTTCTCTGAAAATATGTAACTAGAATACTGTTCAATTCTCAAGTATTGTTTTTAAATTCACATATTAGTAAAACCTAGCAACCAGTTTTCATTTTTGAAAAGGTTAGCTATCAAATGGATACTTGTTCTTCTCTATTGGTTGTCTTTTAATATGACTTACCCTATCTTTTCTCTTTTCTTTCTCTAAAATTACCAGCTCCTGGAGAAAGAAGACTCTGCATTCTCCTTTGCAAAGGAGTTGCTAATGAATTAAGATGAAAGCATAATTATTAAGGGGTGTGGAGCATTATTTACTGCTTGCTCTCAGATAACTGAAAGCCCATGGGGTGAGGGGAGTGGGAAAGCTTTGCCTTCATCAGATGTTCTGTAGCTTTTTTCCCCAAGCCCATGCAGTGTCCTTCAAAGAGAAATTTATATTCTTGAACAGTTCCAGGGTTCTATTGGATTCACCAAAATGGAATCAGCTCTGCTGAGCCTAAATAACACTTGAGAACATTAGTGTAAATATCAAAGCTCTCTACTGGGATTTCCTTTACAGGAACTACCGTAAAAAATGAAATAGCACCAATGTCATATGTCCACTCAAAATAAGACCACACATGTTCAGGTGAGGCATATTGCTGACTTTATAGAAAACAGAGATTCATTATCTATTTTGGTTCTCAACTGATGTGTGATTTGCACTTTAATGTGCATCTAAATGTTAAAATGAAATAAATTCTCTACAGCCAAGCTGAATGAAATAACATTTAATATTTAAAATATTCAAGATAATTTAACTACAGACAACTCCCCCCCCAATCTGAAATGAGGATGTTTTAATATTAGCAGAGAAAAAGCTCAATGTTTTGCTTCAAATTTGAATAAATTCAACAGGGCCTATTTAGGACAAGACACTTACTTATTGCATAATTATTGCCAGGAACTTCTCTGGTAAACTGGTAATTAGATTTTAAAATAATAATTTCCCCCCTTTCTTGGAAAAGTAAAATTGTGTCTCTCAAAGAGAAAAGTAACATATGCTATAATATGGAAATATGTTCATAGTTTAGTTGTGTACAATATACAAATTAAGTCAGATGACTTTGGATGGTTTGTATATGTAACTGGTTTTTACTAATAAACACTTTTTCATCTGACTGTTTAATCTTGTTTTGTTTTTTTCCCCCAAATAAAAGCTTATTTGCCACTTCTGTGGGAAGTCATCCTTACTTCAGAACACTTTTTAAAGTTTTATGACTAGGGAAAATTTGTGGATATCTATTCCCCAGTTTTCAGTATGTCCTTTTATGTCCTAGAAAAATTATTTTCTCTCTCCTAATTTTAAGTGTATATTCTAGTAAATGGATTCCGGGAGAGTCACTGAATGGTCACTAATATACTAGGTATGTACAGTTAGCAAATGATGCTGAAGTAAACTTTATAGACAAGCATCAGGCCTTGTTCTAAGCACCTCTTATGCATCAGCATAATTAATTCTCAGATCCCCTCCTGTCACTACACCTGTTTTACAGAGAAGACCACAGGCACAGGGAGGTTAAGTGCCTTGCCCAAGATCTTAGCTGGTGAGAAGCAAAGCCAGTGTTCTTAACCTTAGCCCCTCTCAAAGAAGAAGGGCCGCGGTGACAGGTGATTTTACTTGGATCTTAAATAAAGAATTGTTATTTCAGATGAAAAGTCTTCAACTATTCTTACAAGATAAGGCTTGTGTCCTTTTTAATGTGTTTTAGCAGGTTTGTAATTCAAATAGAATATAAATGTATTTTATTCATTAGTCTTCAGCATTTTAAGTACTGGAGGTAAACATAAAAGACTTGGTTTTGCATTTGGTAAATTACACCAAAGATTCTTAATAGCCAGCTGCCTAACATCTTTAGATTTGGTAATCTTTCCAGAACTACCAACTGCTATCACTTCTATCCAAACCAGTTTCAATAATGCTTGTATACTTTGTGACTCTGCCAATGTCAATGTGAATTGTAAGCTGTATTTCCCTATCTTGATACAATGATATTCTGATACAATGATAGCTTTTTTATTGTATGCATACATATAACTTCTTGCATTAAAAAGTAGAAGAGCTGGGGTGCCTGGCTGGCTTGCTGGTAAAGCATGCAATTCTTGATCTCAAAATTGTGAGTTCAAGTCCCAAGTTGGGTCTGGAGCTTATTAAAAAAAAAAAAAGATGAGAACAGTTAAAAAGAAATACAAGATGTATATGTGGAATAAGGAATTTCTGAGACCTATTTTAGCTAACTATTTGACAAACATTTTTGCTTAATGTTTTATTATACTTTGTCTAATCACCTTTAAAAAAAAAAAAGATTTTATTTGACAGCGAGCACAAGCAGGGGGAACATCAGGAAGAGGGAGAGGGGGAAGCAGGCTCCCCACTGAGCAGGAAGCCTGATGCAGTGCACAATCCCAGGACCCTGAGATCATGACCTGAGTCAAAGGCAGACACTTAACCAACTGAGCCACCCAGGCACTCCTGCCTAATGACCTTTAAAATTAACTGAAATTAAAACCATATTTTTGCAATGAATATTGTGTTCCTTTTGATAATATCCCAGCAATAATTATTAACTTCGAGGAAACCACACATTGCAAAATCACTGCTTAGCCTTTCTCACCTGTGCATTTAAGATTAAAGGATGGAATAAACAGACTTGTGATAATTGCTTATGGGAATGCCAGTATAAGGGGAAGTGCCTTGCGTAGAGTGTATTATACTAGATCAACTTACCATAGATAGTTCCAAGAATCCGTCTAAATGCTCCAT